CCCACTTGGGAGATCTGGAAGAAACGCCTGGCTCCTGGCTTCAGTCTGACCCAGCCCTGACCATTGTAGCCATTTGGGGAGTGAACCAGCAGTTGGAAGATTCTCTCTCTCTCTCTATCAGTAACTATGCCTTTCAAATAAATAAAATAAATATTAAAAAAAGGGAAGGTTGAGCTAGATTAGTGAATAAAAGCAATGGGAGACCCACATGGATTTCCTGGCTCCTGGCTTTGGCTTGGCCCAGTCCCAGGTTTTAAAGTCATTCAGAGAATGAACAGGAGAACAGAAAATCTTTCTGTGTCTCACCCTCTGTCACTCCATCTTCGAAAAAAAAAAAAGAGTTGGAAAACTATTCACACTGCCTGCTGTGTGGTAGCTATCTGCCAAGACGCCTGTCAACAATTCCTCCCATCCCACTGAGTGCCTGTGGCTCCACCTACTGAGCAGTAGAGTCTGTTTTCCCTCCCCTTGTACCTGAGCTGGCTTTGTGATTTGCTTCTACCCAAAGAATGCACTAGAAATGACACTGTAGCAATTCCAGTCCAAGTCTTAGGAGGGCTGGAAGCCAGCCACCATATAAAGAAGGTTGAGCTTGACAATGCGTAATAAGAGATGCAGAGACAGACGGGAGAGGTGTGCCAGGCGCCCCAGCCAAGAGCCAGCACCGAGGCCCCAGGCGTGTGAGTGAAGCCATCCGAGAGGCTCTGGCCCCAGCTGAGCCCAAGATCTGGAAGCAGCACTATCGCTGTGTTAAGCTGTAAGTTTCGGGATGATTTGTTATACAACAGTGAGTAGCTGACTCTGCAGAAGAGAAAGGGGGTCACTGGGGCAGGAAGGACTTTCCAGGCCACCTTAAATATGAAGGCTTCAGATGTTAGATAGTTACACGCAGCACCTGGAAAGCAGCTCAAGTCCTGGTGAGGGCTCGGGAGAGACGCACAGGGTGGAGGCAGGGACTGCAGAGTCACTGGCCATGGACAGGACTTGGCACCCGTAGACATGGTGAAGTTGCCAGACAGGAAGGTGAGAGGACGAAGGAAGGAAGGCACGGGGACAGGCATACGACACAGAGGTTAAGTTGCCTACTTGGTACATCTACATCCCATACTGGAGTGCCTGGGTTCGCGTCCAGGCTGCACGCCCAGTTCCAGCTCCCTGCTAACGCACACTCTGGGAGGCAGCCAGGAGACTGCTCAGGTAGTTGGGTCCCTGCCACCCATGTGGGAGACGCGGATTGAGTTCCCAGCTCCTGGGTTTGTCCTGGCCCAGCACTGCCAGCTGTTGTAGGCATTTGAGGTGTGAACCGGCAGATGGGAGATCTCTCTCTGGCTTTCAAATAAACTAAATTTTAAAAATTTAATAAAAGAAAAAATAGGTGCCAGGATGAAAATCTGGCCCCACAGATATCTGAGGGACAGACAGAGAAGTTTGTTAAAGACAGAACAAGCAGTGATCAGAGACAAAGAACCAACAAAGAACCAGGGAGCTGATCTCTGCTATGGCCTGGGAAAGCAGTAGAAGATGGCCCATGTGCTTGGGCCCCTGCACCTGCGTGGGAGACCGGGAAGAGACTCCTGGCTCCTGGCTTCAGATTGGCGCAGCTCCGGCCGTTGCGGTCATTTGGGGAGTGAACCAATGGAAGGAAGACCTTTCTCTCTGTCTCTTCATCTCACTGTCTGTAACTCTATCTCTCAAATAAATAAAACCTTAAAAAAAAAAAAAAAAAAAAAAAAGAACCAGGGAGCTGAACCCCTACTTTGAGCAGATGTAATTCACGGCTACAATGAGCAGCTGAAGGGGTGGGCGCTGTGGCGTAGTGGGCTAAGCTTCCGCCTATGGCACCGGCAACCCATATGGACACAGGTTTTAGTCCCAGTTGCTCCTCTTCTGATCCAGCTCTCTGCTTTGGCCTGGGAAAGCAGTGGAAGATGGCCCAAGTCCTTAGGCCTCTGCATTTGTGTGGGAGACCCAGAGGAAGCTCCTGGCTTCAGATCTGCCCAGCTCTGGCCATTTTAGCTATCTGGGGAGTGAACCAGCAGATAGAAGACCTCTCTCTCGCTCTCTCTCTCTGCATCTCTACCTCTCAAATAAATAAATAAAATCTGTCAAAAAAAAGAGTAGTTGAAGATTGGGAGGGGAGGAGACAGGGCAATTTCAGTTTCACATAAAGCAGCAAGGGCATAGTTGGATGAGGAGGGGCCAGGGAGGGAACGACAGGTGATAAACTGGACACAGCCAACAGAGATCACTGCTTTCAAAAGTCTGCTGTAGGCAAAAGGAAGAAAGCGGCAGCATTCGCTAGGTGAAGCGCAGGACAAAAGGAAATCTGTTCAACACGAAGGGATTTGCTTACTGAGGGAGGTGCCACAAGCATGCCGAGGGCTGGCACTGTGGTGCAGAGGACTGAGCCACCACTCAGGATGACTGCATCCCAGGTGGAGTGCTGACTACTGCACCTTTCCACCCAGCATCCTGCTAAATGCTGGGAGGCAGTGGATGACGGCCCGAGGGCTTGGATTCCTGCCACCCACCTGGGAGGCCTGGATGGAGCTCCTGGCTCCTGGCTTCAGCCTGTCCTAACCCCCGGCTGTTGTGGGCCTTTGGGGAGTGAATCAACAGATGGAAGATCTTGGTTTCTCTGTCTCTGTCTCTCTCTGTGCGTCACTCTGCCTTTTAAATAAATAAATAAGTCTGTTAAAAAGTCAAAGAAAAGAGAGAATGGAGATCCTGAACAGAGAGGCGGACCGGTCCCAGGGGACAGAGAGGGAGGGGACAGAGCACGCAGGTGGAGAGTACTGGCCTGCACAGGTGAGGGAGGCTCCGCCTAGCGGTCCCTGTGAAGAGCAGTGAGGTCCAGTGCTGACAGGGAGTGGCAGGGGGATTCCCCACCTCCCAGGGAGGGGCTCTCAAGAAGAGCTGTTCTCCTGAACCTTCTCCTTCCTGAGCCTGCCCCTGGGGTCCCCATCCAGCCCCTCACTCATTCTCCAAGTACTCACTGAGCATCCACACCATCCAGCACCTCTGCACACGTCTCAGACCCCCCACGCCCAGCAGGGACCTCACTGCCTACTGGACAGAGAACACAGGCCCGGTCCCACTCTGCCCAGTCCCAAAGTCACCTCCTGGCAGCTGCCCCACCCGGCCTGACACAAAGGAATGCCGAATTCTTTTTTAAAAGATTATTTATTTGAAAGTCAGAGTTACAGAGAGACAGACAGACAGACAGACATATTCCATCTGCTGGTTCACTCCCCAGAGGACCGCAACGGCCAGGGCTGGGCCAGGCCAAAGCCAGGATCTGAGCTTCCTCTAAGGTCTCCCACGTGAGTGCAGGGACCCAAGCATGTGGGCCATTTTCTAGTGCTTTTCCCAGGCTGTAGCAGGGAGCTGGATTGGAAGTAGAGCAGCTGGGACTCGAACTGGCGTCCATAGGGGATACCAGTATTGCAGGCGGTACCCTGCAATTGTAACCCATTACACCACAATACCCTGCACCTGCATAGGAGACAGGAAGACGCTCCCCACTCCTGGCTTTGGATCAGCTCAGCTCTGGCCATTGCAGCCCTTTGGGGAGTGAAGCAGTGGATGAAAGACCTCTCTTTCTGTCTCTCCCTCTCTCTGTAACTCTGTCTCTCAAATAAATAAATATTTAAAAAATGCAATAAATATGATATATTGTCTATCACACAGAGTAAGAGTATTTACTGTTTCTTAAGTTTTCCTTTGGGGCCAGCATTGTGGTGCACGGCGGCCCATATGAGAGCATCTTCAACTGTGGCTGCTCCACTTCCCATCCAGCTCCCCACTAATGCACCTGGGAGAGCAGCAGCAGATGGCCCAAGTGCTTGGGCCCCTGCACCCATGTCAGAGACCTGGATAGAGTTCCAGGCTCCTAGCTTCAGCCTGGCCCAGCCCCAAGTGTTGTAGCTATGTGGGAAGTGAACCAGCAGATGGATGAGTCTCTCTTTCTGTGTCTCTTCTCTCTCTAACTCTGCTTTTCAAATAAATAAAATCTTAAAAAACAGGGGCCGGTGCTGTGGCATAGTGGGTAAAATCATTGCCTGCAGTGCTGGCATCCCATATGGGTACTGGTTCAAGTCCCGGATGCTCCACTTCTGATCCAGCTCTCTGCTATGGCCTGGGAAAGCAGTCCTTGGGCCCCTGCACCTGTGTGGGAGACCTGGAAGAAGGTCCTGGCTCCTGGCTTTGGATCAGCGCAGCTCCAGCTGTTGTGGCCAATTGGGGAGTGAACCAGTGGATGGAAGACCTCTCTCTCTCTGCCTCTCTATAACTCTGCCTTTCAAATAAAATAAATCTTTTTTTAAAAAAAAAGTATAATCAAAAAAACAAAACAAAACAAAAACTACTGTTTTCTGAGTGGATGTTTAACTTAATGGTTGGGTCACCTGCATCCCACATCAGTGTCTGGACTTGATACCCAGTTTCACTCCTGATTCTAGCTTCCTGCCAACACAGACCCCTGGCAAGCAGCAGCAGTGGCTCAAGTAACTGGGACACTTGGATTGAGTCCCAACTCCCAGCTTCAACCCTCTGGTCTAGCACAGAGAGGCCTGTGGTTGCAGGCATCTGAGGAGTGAACCAGCAGATGGAAGGTCTGTCTGCCCCTCAAATAAAGAAAAAATAAGAACAATGTTGGGGCCAGTACTGTAGGGTAACAGGTTAAACTGCCACTTGCAACACCAGCATTTCATATGGGTGCCAGTTCAAGTCCTGCTGTTGCAGCCATTTGGGCAGGGAACCAGCGGATGGAAGATCTCTCTCTCTCTCTTTCAAATAAATAAAATAAAATAAAATAAACATCTATTCCAATTATGACAATAATGTCAACCTGTTACTATAGGTTGACATCAAAAGATCTGCGTACACGCGAAAACTTTCACAGTAAAAGTTTCAAACAGCAACACTGCCGTGGAGAAGCTGCCCCTCCCCTTGGGCCCGTGTTTTGGGTCCCACGTCTGCAGCCACTACAGGACACTTACATTGTGCACTGTACGTCTTCTCTCTCCTCTCTCGAAGCTTTGCTCACAATGGCAGCCTTTCCAGGGGCCTTCAGACGTGCCCGAGCCTTACTGTGAAAAAACAAAACCGAAACACCTCACTGGCTCCCTCCCACCTCCCAGGTACTCCCACTCTCCCTTCCCAGGCAAACCTCTCCAGACAGTCGCCTGCAGGGCAGGTGTGCAGCACAGCAGGGTAGAGTTCATTTTCAGGTTCCAGCTACTGGACTCCCAATCCAGCTTCCTGCTAATGCTTCCTGGCTCAAGTAGTTGGGCCCTCACACCCATGTGGAAGACCTGGGTGACGTTCCAGGGTCCTGGCGTCAGCCTGGCCCAGCCCTGGCTGTGGCAGGAATTTGGGGCGTGAACCATTGGATGGAAGATCTCTCTCTCTCTCTCTCTCTTTCTCTCTCTGCACTCTTCAAATAAAATGAAAATAACTTTTTTATAAAAAGAACAGGGTCACCTGTGTTTGTCCTTAGCTTATCACCCAAATCCTGCCCCTTCCTCCTGCCTGCAGCTCCTGTGGGACTCAGCTCCCCGTAGCTGCCAGGGACTCCCACAAGCCTGTTCATCTAGGGGACTTGTCATTCCCACTGCTCCCTCCACCTTCAGCCCCAACTCCTCAAAGGCCTGTACTGACCTTCCCCGCAATGTCAGCCCCTCACGACTGGGGACCCCACGCTCCTGTTTCCTACCTACCGGTCAGCTGTCACCATTAACAGCTTTGGAGGCCTGAGTGATTATTTGCCCAGATTAGGTCCCGTAAGGCGGACAGGGACTACCTCTGTCTTTATTTTGGCAGCCCTAGGGCCTCCCTGGGTTAGTGTGAGGCACGGTCAGGGCTGAACAAACAGATATTAGATAAACAAACAGGTGGCAGCCCCTGCCCTACACACTGAGTGTGCAATGGTGAGAGACGTTCTAGAAGGTAAAGGGCTGAGGGGGAGGAGAGAGCTGGGGCAAAAGCAGAAAGAGAAGGCGGCTCCTGCCCCGCTTCCCAGCCAAATCTGGAGCCGTTTCAACACCAGCACAGGTCTTCAGAGCTGTCGCCCTTCACTGCCTCTGTGCCAGCAAAGTCAGCCTTCCAGGCAGGATGGGCAAGGTAACATCTGATACACACACAGCTCTGCAGGAACAGCCAAGGCCTGCTGAACCACAAAGAGGCGATGCCTCCTTCCGCACCAAACCCCTAGCAAATGGGGGCTGCACCTGTTTTACTTGCCCGAGTGTGGTGGCATCTTCCACCTGCACGGGGTCTCTGAGAAACTGCATAGAACTCCTGAGAGCTTAGTTCCTTTGCAGCGTAACCAAAGCCAATGACTGCTTTGTTTTGCTTAAACACTTTTGCTATTTTATTATTTATTTCCTGGCACACGTAACTACAAACACGAGATTCACTTCATGAAATTAAACGATCCAATCAATACCACAAATACTTAAAATCTGGCAAACACCACATAGGAAAACAACCATCAAAATCTAGACTGTAGGAAACTCTACTGAACAAATTATCCTTTCTTCAACAAAACAATTGAGAAAGGAGGGGACCCACACATTAAAAGTGATTTAAGGGTGGGGGGCCGGCGCTGTGGTGCAGCAGATTAAAGCTGCAGCCTACAGCAGCGGCATCCCATATGGGCGCCAGTTCAAGTCCCAGCTGCTCCACTTCTGGTCCAGCTCCCTGCTATGGCCTCAGAAAGCAGTAGAAGATGGCCCAAGCACTTGGGCCCCTGCACCAGTGTGGGAGACTTGGAAGAAGCTCCTGGCTTTGGATTAGCTCAGCTCTGGCCGTTGCGGTCATTTGGGGAGTGAACCACCAGATGGAAGACCTCTTTCTCTCTCTCTCTCTCTTGCTCTGTAACTCTGTCTTTCAAATAAATAAAATAAATCTTTTTAAAAAAAGTGATTTAAGGGACACAATGTGGAATTGTTTGGATTCTTTTTCAAATAAAAAGACTTTTTAAAGAAAGAGAACTCGGGGACTAGAGTTGTAGAGCAGTGGGTTAAGCTGCTGCCTGCAAGGCTGGCATCCCATATCAGAGCACTGGTTCGAGTCCTGGCTGCTCCACTTCCGATCCAGCTTCTGCTAATGCACCTAGGAAAGCAGCAGAGGATGGCCCAAGTACTTGGGTCCCTGCCACCCACGTGGAAGACCTGGATGGAGTTCCAGGCTCCTGGCTTTGGCCTGGTCCAGCCCTGGCTGTTGTGGCCTTTTGGAGAGTGAACCAGTGGATGGAAGATCTCTTTCTCTGTTTCTCTCTCTCTTTTACTCCACCTTCAAATAAATAAAGTAACTCTTCAAAAAAGAGAAATCATAGGGCCTGCGCTGTGGTGTAGTAGGCTAAGCCTTAGCCTGTGGCAACGGCATCCCAAATCGGCACTGGTTTGAGTCCTTGCTTCTCAATTGCTGGTCCAGCTCCCTGCCACCTGCATGGGAGACCCAGAAGAAGCTCCTGGCTCCTGGCTTCCAATGGGCCCAGCTCCAGCAGCTGAGGCCATTTGGGGAGTGAATCAGCAGATGGAAGACCTTTCTCTCTGTCTCTCCCTCTCTCTATAACTCTCTCAAATAAATAAGTAAATAGAATCTTTAAGAGAGAGAGAGAGAGAGAAATCTTAGGATAATTAGAGAAATGAGACTGGACATCTGATGATATTAAGAACTTTCTTGTGCCTTTTTTTTGTCTTTTTTTTCCAAAGAGGAGTCATATGTGTCCCCAAATCTAGTTCTTTCTCTAGGTCTTATTTTATAAATTGGGGTGATATACCAGGTGTGATTCATTATGCTATATAACATCATTTACATAATAAATATTTATTATATGATTTTGTATGATCACATAATGACTAATTCTAGGTTACCCTTGATCAACCTTAAGTATAATGACAGTACAGTTAGTATAATGGCTTTTGCAAACGATCAGTGCTAATTTGCAGACTTCTGTCTAAAGGGGTCATAAGTCGAGAAATTTTGTGATTTTACCAATTGCCATCAAATGAACTGTAAAACTGGGGGAAAAATCAAGAGAGAAGTCCTAGTCTTTTAGAGCTATACATAGAAGCCTTTAGAGACCATCCAATATGAAATGACACACTAGCTGAGATCTGCTGGGGTGGGGGTGGGGGCAGGGTTTTAGAAGCAGCAAGATCATCAGCAGGTAACTGTAGAAGCTGAATGATGAGTACACGAGTTCTGGCAACACTATTTCACACATGTTGGGAAAGTTCTTTAAAGCTAAAAAAGTGAGTCCAGGGAACAGTATCGTGGTCCACTGGGTTAAGCTGTCACCTGGGACTCCAGGTTTGAATCTTGGCTGCTCTACTTCTGATCCAGCTCTCCGCTAATGTGCCTGGGAAAGCAGAAGAGGATGGCCTGAGTGCTTGGGCCTCTGCCACCCACACGGGAGTCCCAGATGGAGCTCCAGGCTCCTGGCTTCATCCTGGCCCAGCCCCGGCCCTTGTGGCCATTTAGGGGGTAGAGCAGCAGATGGAAGATCTCTGCTTCTCTGTTTCTCCCTCTCTCTACAATTCTGACTTTGCAGCAAATCAACCTTTTTTTTTTTTTTTTTTTTTTTTTAAGATGTATTTATTTTACTTGAAAGTCAGAGTTAAACAGAGAGAGAGAGGTCTTCCATCCGCTGGTTCACTCCCTAAATGGCCACAACAGCCGGAACTGCGCCGATCCGAAGCCAGGAGCCAGGAGCTTCTTCCAGGTCTCCCACCTGGGTGAAAGGGCCCAAGCAGTTGGGCCATCCTCTACTGCTTTCCCAGGCCATAGCAGAGAGCTGGATGGGAAGTGGAGCAGCTGAGACCAGAACCAGTGCCCATATGGGATGCTGGCACTGCAGGCGGCGGCTTTACCTGCTACGCCACAGCACTGGTCCCAAATCAATTTTTTTTAAGTCATTCTAACAAACAGAACCATAGTAAATGTGAAAGTCCGTGGCACCTAAAATTCTATCATTTTCCAAGAAGTGGACAGGAGGGCAGTTGAATGGCGGGACGTGTCCCTCACGGCTGCCGCTCTTTGCCACAGTTCTGCGGGAGGGGGAATCTCCCTCTTTCCCTTCCATCAGAACAGGCACTTACCTCCGAGGGGCTGCGGTCCATTTCAAGGAAGCACGCTGAATCCACTGCCTTAAATGTCAGAAAGAGCAAGCACATGCAGTCTGGCCACCCAGTAGTTTCGCAGCCTTCCCACTGCTTTTGAACTGGTACCCAGGACTTCCCACAGACCTCAGCCTGCACACTGCCAACTGACTGCCACCCTGACCGCATCGCTGACCCCTGTCCAGTCCCACTTGGGCCTCTTCATCAGTCTCTGAAACTCCCCAACACACTGGGCCAACTAGCTGGCCCGTCCACTTTCGACCCTTACTGCTTCCTCCTCTTGAAAGTTGGAACTAGCCAGCTTTAAATATTCAAAGACTTCCAAAGTCTACCAGGGCCGACAAAAACCTGCTGATGGGCAGACATGAGGCTCCTGGGAAGTCCAAATGACTTCCAGCTCCACTTTGGATACAGCCAACACAGATTCATCAGGGCTCACTCTGAGAATATCACACCAGCTGCAACCCCAAGTCCAGTGAACCTTCGGGTACAGACGCGATGGGGCAGGTTCACAGCTGCGAAACCCAAGAGACGCAGATGAGGGCCTCAACCCTCCCTTCCAGCAAAATGGGTCTTTTCTACTCCTTCTTTGGTTACATCAATCAATAGCTCATAAAACATAGGGCTAGTGCATTGCTCTGCAAGACTTGGACAAGGTAATCGCTCTATTTCATCCTCCTGCTTCAGAACTCTCCTCCGGGGGAAATAAACCTGCCTTTCTGGGGAAAACAAAAGCCTCCCCTACCTTGCCCTAGAAACAAAACTAAAGGCAGCGATGATGAGCAAGCGCCCCAAGCCGCACGACGGCCCCGCGCCGGCTCAGCCAGGGGTGCTCTGTCCAGCCCGGAGTGTACGTGTGTTTTGCTTTAAAATTCCTCTAAAATGGAAAGGGAGAAGAGTGGGCGTGTAAGCTGGAGCCCAGGCTCCATTCAGATGGCTCGTGTCCTCCCATCTCACTCTGCATCAAGATGTGGCCACCCCGGCTGAATTTCAAGGGGGCAATTTCTTGGGCAATTAAATATGTCAACTACAGACGCCGGAGGCCGGGGCAGCGGGAGCAAACGTCCCGACGAGCGAGGCTGGCAGGGCGCCCGCCGCCTCGGGCGCCGGCCAGGGACTGCACCGCCCGGCTGCCCACCCGCACCTCCGCTGGGTCCCCAATTCGGGCTAGGCTCGGTCACTTCCGGTGACAAATCCCTCCTCCCACCGCCTCCAGCAATAATGTACCGATTCCCCCGCCGCCTTCCTAAAACCCTGCGGCCCCTCCGAGAGGCGCGGAGCGAGGCACGGGGAGGGGGCGCGGGGTCTCCGCTCCCCCGCCCTGCGGCCGCCGCCCGGGAGCCGCTTCCAGACTCGCCCGGGCCCCACCGAGCGCGGCCGCAGCTCCGAGCACGCTCCCTCCCGGCGCGGTGGCCCGCGGGGGCCCCAGGCCGCGCGAACTGCAGTGGATGCGGGGTGGGCGGAGGGCGAGGGGACTCGGGCGGCGGGAATGAGAAAGAAGACACCAGAGGCATGCAAGCGGCTCCCCAGCCAGCTGCCCCGGCTGCCGCTTCCTCCGGCGCGGGCCGGGCGGTGCAACATCCCCCCCCTCCGTCTTCCCCACCACTACCTGTCCCCCCACCCACCACACGCACACAGTCCTCTCCCACCCCAGCGGCGGATCTCCGGTCTGCAAGGGGGTAGCAGGGAGGAGCTGGGGGGAGGGGGAGGCCTGCGAGTTTCTAACCTTGTTCTTATAAACAAACCCACATGTGCAGCTGCCGCTGCTGCAACTCACCCCACAATCCCGGATATAAGGCCTGTCCCTTTAAGAAGAAAAAAAAGCTTCCCCCGCCTGCCTCCCACCCCACCCATCCACAAGGACCTTTGTCTCCCCGCCCGCCCCGCCCGGCGGCCCCGCCCCTCGTCCCCGCCCCCCTTCGGCTCCCTGGAACCAATAGGCGAAGGAAATAAGGCCGGGGGATTGACGCCATCGTGTCCGGCCAATCACAGGGCGCGTTGGTGGGAGGCCTCCCGGAGGGCGCGCCCAGAGGCAGGAAGGCCGGAGAGGAAGCTTGAAGTTAACATGGAGTCTGCTAGTTGCTCCGCCGGCGCCGTGGGCGACGGGGACATGGGGTCCCAGCGGGACCTGAGCTCGGTGCCTGAGCGGCTCCACAGACGCGAGCAAGAGCGGCAGCTGGAGGTGGGAAGGCGGAAGCAAAAGCGGCAGGACCAGGAGGTGGAAGGGGAGAAGAGCGACTTCTTCGCCGCCGCCTTCGCTCGGGAGCGAGCGGCCGTGGAAGAGCTGCTGGAAGGCGGTGAGTCGGTCGAGCGGCTGGAGGAGGCGGCCTCACGGCTGCAGACGCTGCAGAAGCTTCTCAACGACTCGGTTTTGTTCTTAGCCGCCTACGACCTGCGGCAGGGGCAAGAAACCATGGCGCGGCTGCAGGCGGCCCTGGCCGAGCGGCGCCAGGAGCTGCAGCCCAAGAAGCGTTTCGCTTTCCGGACCCGGAGGAAGGAGGATGGCGGTGCTGCCGCCGCCGCCGCCGCCGCCGCCACGGCAGACGCGGCCCCTGCAGCCCCGGCGGCGTCCCCGCGGCCGCTGGCGGAGGAGGGGCCAGGCCTCGGCTCCAGCTGGGTCTGCGGCTTCTCCCACCTGGAGTCGCAAGTCTTGGAGAAGAGAGCCGAGGAGCTGCACCAGCGCGACGTCGTTTTGACCGAGCTGAACCACTGCACGGTCAGACTGTACGGCAATCCCAACACGCTGCGGCTGACCAAGGCCCGCGGCTGCACGGTGCTCTGCGGCCCCGTGTCCACCTCGGTGTTCCTGGAGGACTGCAGCGACTGCCTGCTGGCCGTGGCCTGCCAGCAGCTGCGCGTCCACACCACGACGGACACCCGCGTCTTCCTGCATGTGACCAGCAGGGCCATCGTGGAGTACTGCCACGGGATCCAGTTCGCCCCGTACACCTGGAGCTACGCGGGCATCGACGCGGACTTCGAGAGTTCTGGGCTGGACCGGAACAGAAATCACTGGAATGACGTTGACGATTTTAACTGGCTGGCCCGGGATGTGGCCTCCCCAAACTGGAGTATCCTTCCCGAAGGGGAGCGAAAAGTCCAGTGGGACTGAGCAGTCACCAAGCACTTCCTCCTGGGGCCCGCTGCCGCTGTCATCTATTTGCGGTGTTTAAGGGTTGAGGCTGTGACAGGCTCCGACGTGGCCATCCCCATTAAATTAAATTCTTGACAGAGCCAACACTGAACAGCGTTTTTTTTTTCTGTTTTGGTGCCATCTGGGACCATGGCAGATCGAAGCAGTGAGAGAGGAGAGAGTGGTTGGGTTGACTTCAGTGGTGGGTGGTATGTAGCTACACAGTGCTTGAGGCAGTGGGCCTCCAGTGGATGTTTGTTTCACGTAGGCGTCGGGGAGGGTTCTGGTGGGACCCGGTCCATGCGGCCCTGTGGTATCAGCACCACGCAGGAGTGTTTTGAATGGGAGATTTGACTTGGGGATTTTCCAGCGGCGCGGTATAGGACTCCTGTCTAATCTTGAGCTGTGTATTAGCATGGACATCTGGAATCCAGCTACTCAATGACTTCTTTGCACGGATTCTGAATCTTACCAACAGTGATGCCAAAGCAATTGTTACAGCCACCAAGCTTTTTTTTACACTTAAAATAAATACACTGTCCTGGAGGCTTTATCTGTATAACTTAGACCCCCCCAAAACCTTAAAAGGTGGTGCTGTCAAAACCATGTTTTTTTCTTCTGTGTGTTTTTTTGTTTGTTTGTTTTGTTTTGTTTTTTGTTTTTTTTTTTTTTTTTGACAGGCAGAGTGGACAGGGAGAGAGAGACAGAGAGAAAGGTCTTCCTTTTGCCGTTGGTTCACCCTCCCATGGCCGCCGCGGCCGGCGCACTGCGCTGATCCAATGGCAGGAGCCAGGTACTCATCCTGGTCTCCCATGGGGTGCAGGGCCCAAGCACTTGGGCCATCCTCCACTGCACTCCCTGGCCACAGCAGAGAGCTGGCCTGGAAGAGGGGCAACCGGGACTAGAACCCTGTGTGCCGGTGCCGCATGGCGGAGGATTAGCCTAGTGAGCTGTGGCGCTGGCTTTTCTGTTTTTAAGATTTATTTGAAAGAGTTAGAGATCTTCCATCTGCTGGTTCACTCCCCAGGTGGTCGCAATGGCAGGGGCTGGGCCAGGCTGAAGCCAGGAGCCTGGCACTCCATGCGGGTGTCCCACTGGGCCATCTTGCCCGCTGCTTTCCCCGGGGCACTTCATCAGGGGGCTGGATGGGAGGTGGGAGTAGCTGGGATGCTGGCAGCTGCCACAGGTGGTGGACCGAAGGATCACTTTTCAAGTTAGGACACAGGTGAGTAACTTGCCGGAGGCCACACAGCTCACGTGCTGGCTGTGATAGGAAGGAAATGAGCTTCCACGACGGGGAAGGCAAATTGCTTTTATTAAGTTCGCGGGCATAATTATGCTGCCAGTTATCCCATAGAAAAAGAAACTTGAGGCAAACATGCAGCTCTGTTTCTTCCACTCCTGCTGCTGTCATCTCTACTGTCACAAATCGATTTTCCTAGAAGAAAGGTGGGAGATACTTTTTTAGAAAAGTTTTTTGAGGCCAACGCCGCGGCTCACTAGGCTAATCCTCTGCCTAGCGACGCTGGCACACCGGGTTCTAGTCCCGGTCGGGGCGCCGGATTCTGTCCCGGTTGCCCCTCTTCCAGGCCAGCCCTCTGCTGTGGCCAGGGAGTGCAGTGGAGGATGGCCCAGGTGCTTGGGCCCTGCACCCCATGGGAGACCAGGAAAAGCACCTGGCTCCTGGCTCCTGCCATCGGATCAGCGCGGTGCGCCGGCTGCAGCAGCCATTGGAGGATGAACGAACGATAAAGGAAGACCTTTCTCTCTGTCTCTCTCTCTCTCACTGTCCACTCTGCCTGTCAAAACAAAACAAAACAAACAAAGTTTTTTGAGTCTCAGTTTTGTAGCTGTAGACGTGCTTTCTCCTTACAAGTGTGACGCTCCATGGCATACCTTGAATATTTACGTGTGTTATCTGGTACTGTTTTATTCTCAGGATTCCAGGTGGTTTCTAGGATGTAAAATGAAACCAGATGACAAGGGTAGAGTCGCACATTGGAGGCAGAAGTTAGGTCAAGCTCTCTTCCTTAGCAGAAAGTGAATCCACATTCCTCCCTCTTTTTTTAATGACGTATTTTTATTTGAAAGCCAGAGAGAGAGCAAGCCCTTCCATCTACTGATTCCCTCCCCAAATGGCTGCAAAGGCGAGGGCTGGGCCAGGCTGAAGCCAGGAGCCTAGAACTCCATGGGGTCTCCCACGATGTGGCAGGGGCCCGAGCACTTGGACCGTCCTCCCCTGCCTTCCCAGGAGATTACTGGGATCCAGATTGAAAGTGGGGCAGCTGGGACTCGAACCGGTGCTCATAAGGGATGCTGGTGTTGCAGGTGGCGGCCTAACGCACTGCTCTACAACCCCAGCTACTACCTATCTTGAAAAAGGATCATCACCGTTTTCCAATTTGCAACATCTATGAAGAGGAAAAGTCAGTTGCTGAGAAGAAATCCTGAGAATGAAGAGACTAATGTGCCGGCACCGCCATAGCTCACTAGGCCAATCCTCCGCCTGCGGTGCCGGCACACCAGGTTCTAGTCCCGGTCGGGGCACCGGATTCTGTCCTGGTTGCCCCTCTTCCAGGCCAGCTCTGCTATGGCCAGGGAGTGCAGTGGAGGATGGCCCAGGTGCTTGGGCCCTGCACCCCATGGGAGACCAGGAGAAGCACCTGGCTCCTGCCTTCGGATAGGTGCGGTGCACCGGCAGACCGTAGCGGCCACTGGGGCATGAACCGACAGCAAAGGAAGACCTTTCTCTGTCTCTCTCTCACTGTCCACTCTGCCTGTCAAAAAAAAAAGACTAACGCGATTCTCAGACGTAATCTGCACATGAGCAGCTGTGACCAGTGTCCTCATGGTTTGCAGTTCATATTTGTGAACTGAGTTTAACTTATTCTTTTTAAGTTTTAGGAATTTGAAAGAGGGAGAACAGAAAATGGAGTGATCCTCCATCCACTGGTTGCCTAAATGTGCAGAACAGCCAGGGCTGTGCCAAGCCGACTCTGGGAGCTGGGAACTCCATCCAGGTCCCCCACATGGGTGGCAGGAGCCCAAATACTTTAGGCCATCCTCTGCCTCTTCCCTGGGTATGCATTAGCAGTGGGAAGTGGAGGCAGGACTTATCCCAGGCCTCTGAGCAGTGGCTTAACTCGCCCACATCAGCCGCTCCTCTGGGCTGATCATTTTTGTAGGAGAGTTAACACAATTCCTTAGATCTTTTGCAAACCTGAGGTTTGCAGTAGCGAATACAATCATCACCGTGACAGCTTGAACCCTGATGCCAGCTCCTCTCGGCTGAGCTTTAGGTGCTGCCCGGCAAGCCCATTGCACCTCTGGAATGCTTGCTCCACGTTCTTCACGCCACCCACTCCAGACCTTTCCCCCTTGACGGAAGCTTATGATGTTCTGTCCAAATTCTGCCAGCCTCACTCAACAAAAGCCATTCAACTAGCACACCCTTAACCCCCCATATTTGGAAAATTGGGGCCAGTGTTGTGGCACTGTGGGTGGAGCCACTGCATGCAATGCCAGCATCCTCTATGGGCACAGGCTCATGTCTCAGCTTCTCCACCTCCAATCCAGCTCCCTGCCAATGGGCTGGGAAAAGCAGCAGAGGGTGACCCAACTTCTTGGGCCCCTGCACCCACATGGGAGACCCAGAAGAAAGTCCTGGCTCCTGGCTTCAGCCTGGTCCAACCCTCGCCATTGCAGCCATCTGGAGAATGAACCGGTGAATGGGAGAGCCTTCTTTCTCTCCCTCTCAATCAACTCTTTAAAAAATATTTGGAAAAATTAAGAAAGTTCCATTCTTGCTCCTTTCGAGAGCTGTTTCCTCTTCCACAAAACTCCCTCTTGACTTGTGCTCATGGCACACATTTTTTTAAATAAAGATTTATTTACTTGAAAGAGTTACACAGAGGAGAGGCAGAGAGAGAGCGGGGTCTTCCCTCCGCTGGTTCACTCCCTAATTGGCCGCAATGGCTGGAGCTGCGCTGATCTGAAGCCAGGAGCCAGGAGCCAGGAGCCAGGAGCTTCTTCTGGGTCTCCCATGCAGGTGCATGGGTCCAAGGACTTGGGCCATCTTCCACTGCTTTCTCAGGCCATAGCAGAGAGCTGGATTGGAAGTGGAGCAGCCAGGTCTTGAACTGGCTCCCACATGGGATGCTGGCGCTTCAGGCCAGGGCATTAACCTGCTGTGCCACAGCGCCGACCCCGTGGCACAGATTTTCAACATTTCGGGATCATTTCTATCGACCCCAAGCCAGAGTTTGAACTGTGTAGATGAAATCTCTACCCCAAACCAACTCAGATCTGCAGCAGCCACAGAAGGAAGCAGGTACTGTTAAAAGGCCTGCCTTCCCTCATGTCATATGCTGACCTCGCCCTGCACCGCAGAAACTCTAAAACCATTTGCTTTTGGCTCTTCTGGCTGCTATCATAGTTACATGGACTGTGCTGCCTCAGGGCAGCGGATTTATTTCCTACTGTTCTGGAGGCTGTGAAGTCCAAAGTCAAATCCAAACGCAGATTTCAGTTCCAGGTGAGGGCCTGCTTCTGGCCCATAGGCTACAGTGTTCTCCCTGTGTCGTTGATGTGAGGAATGGGATGAGTCTTTTGTTTTTAAAGATTTTAATATATTTATTTGAAAGGGTTACAGAGAGGCAGAGAGAGAGAGAGGTCTTCATCTGCTGGTTGACTCCCCAAATGGCCACAATGGCCAGAGCTGGGCTGATCTGAAGTCAGGAGCCAGGAGCTGCTTCCTGGTTTCCCACACCTAAGCACCTGGGCCATCTTCTACTGCTTTCGCAGGCTATGGCAGAGAGCTGGATCAGAAGTGGAGCAGCCAGGACTTGAACTGGTGCCCATATGGGATAGCAGGTGGCAGCTTTACCCGCTAGGCCACAGTGTGGGCCCCGTGAGTCTTGTATGTGGGCACTCCTCCGGTTCACGGGTTCTCTGTGCTCACAACCAGTCGTCTACCAGAGGCCCACCTCGCAGCCCCAGCATGTTGTGTGGGAGGGACACAAATATTCAGGCTAGAGTGCTGATCACGAGAGTGCAAGATCATTTATTCATCCGGTAACCAAGCTGAGCAGTCTCTTCAGAGATCCAAATACTTAATTTTTAAAGTCTATTATTTATTTTCATCTACTTGAAAGGTAGAGTGACAGAGTGGGAAAGAGAATGAGAGAGAAATTTTCCATTCACTTGTTCACTTCCCAAATGCCTCCCCGAGCCAGAACTGGGCCAAGGCAGCCAGGAGCCTGGGGCTCCATCTGTGTCCACCACCCAAGTGACAGGGGATCCAGGATGTGTTAGCAGGAGGCTGCATCGGAAGCAGCCAGGACTCGAACCAGCACTCCCATATGAGATGCAGTTATCCCACATGGCAGCTTAGCCCACTGCCCCTCAGATCCTTTTTTCAAGACTTTCTGTTTTAGGGGTGGGCGTGTAGGTAGGATGGCAGGTACCGTGGGAAGAATTACTATGTTCCTAAAGTTGCATCTATGAAATGCATGCGAATAAATAATTTTTTTTATTTGAGTACATCTTGGTTGTGCTTATCTCACCGAAAAAATTACATGTAGGGGCTGGCGCTGTGGCTCAGTAGGTTAATCCTCCACCTGCAGCGCCGGCATCCCATATGGGCAGCAGTTCTAGTCCTGGCTGCTCCTCTTCCGATCCAGCTCTCTGCTCTGGCCTGAGAAAGCAGTAGCAGATGGCCCAAGCACTTGGGCCCACGCACCAGTGTGGGAGACCCGGAAGAAGCTGCTGGCTCCTGGCTTCAGATCGGCACAGCTCCAGCTGTGGCAGTCATTTGGGAAGAGAACCAGCAGATGGAAGACCTCTCTCTGTCTCCTTCTCACCGTCTATAACTCTACCTCTCAAGTAAATAAATAAAAATCTTTTTTTTTTTTTGACAGGCAGAGTGGACAGTGAGAGAGAGAGACAGAGAGAAAGATCTTCCTTTTTCCGTTGGTTCACCCTCCAATGGCCGGCGCGGCCGGCGCGCTGTGGCCAGCGCACCGTGCTGATCTGATGGCAGGAGCCAGGTGCTTCTCCTGGTCTCCCATGGGGTGCAGGGCCCAAGCACTTGGGCCATCCTCCACTGCACTCCCGGGCCACAGCAGAGAGCTGGCCTGGAAGAGGGGCAACCGGGACAGAATCCGGCGCCCCGACTGGGACTAGAACCCCGTGTGCCGGCGCCGCAAGGCAGAGGATTAGCCTAGTGAGCCGCGGCGCCGGCCTAAATAAAAAATCTTAAAAAAAAAAATTACACATAAGCCAATTTTTCAAACTGACATCATATAGAGATTTGGTTATGACAGTGTAATTGTTTTTATAAACATAGGTAGTTCATATACAAAGGTAGAAACAGATTGGAAAACAGTAAAATTCCCTCCCTCCTTGGTCCCCTACCCTTCAGATCTCTGGGGAGCGCTCACTCTGCCCCTTTTAGCCTCTGCATTTATAAACGCGTGTGCTGCATCTATTCTCCGCGCCTGCAGACACTTGCTGCGTATCCTGTCCCGCGTGTTGCCTTTGTCAGTGGCGCTGTGCGTGGGGACCTCCCTGTGTGTGTATACAGAATCACTGAGCCTGTTCACCTGCCACTTAGTGTTCTGGTCCATCTAACCAGTCTCCAACTGATGGGCATTAAGGTTGCTGTCAATCTTTTTTTTTTTTTTTTTAAGATTTATTTACTGCTTAGTTCTCTTTCCCGTCTTGCAAGATGGCGGGTGAAAAAGCTCCCGCTGCAAAGCCGGACGCTACCAAGAAATCTCCAGCCAAGAAAGCCGATCATGCCCGCGGCAAGGCGAAGAAGAAGACCCTCGCGGAGAAGAAGCCCAAGAAGGGGAAGCCCCACTGCAGCCGAAACCCCGTCCTGGTGAGAGGGATTGGCAGATACTCCCGCTCCGCCATGTACTCCAGGAAGGCCCTGTACAAGAGGAAGTACGCGGCTCCCAAGTCCAGGATTGAAAGGAAGAAGAAGAGGGAGAAGGTGCTGGCTACCGTCACGAAACCAGTTGGTGGTGACAAGAATGGTGGCACCAGGGTGGTCAAGCTTCGCAAAATGCCGCGGTACTATCCCACCGAAGATGTCCCTCGGAAGCTGTTGAGCCACGGCAGAAAGCCCTTCAGTCAGCACGTGAGGAAGCTGCGGGCCAGCATCACCCCTGGGACCATCCTCATCATCCTCACGGGGCGCCACAGGGGCAAGAGGGTGGTTTTCCTGAAGCAGCTGAGCAGTGGTTTGCTGCTTGTGACTGGGCCTCTTTCCCTGAATCGGGTTCCCCTGCGTAGAACACACCAGAAATTTGTCATCGCCACCTCCACAAAAATTGACATCAGCGGTGTGAAAATCCCGAAGCATCTCACCGATGCTTATTTCAAGAAGAAGCAGCTGCGGAAGCCCAGACACCAGGAAGGCGAGATCTTCGACACCGAGAAGGAGAAATACGAGATAACAGAGCAGCGCAAGGTTGATCAGAAAGCTGTGGATTCGCAAATACTGCCGAAGATCAAGGCTGTGCCGCAGCTCCAGGGATACCTGCGGTCTGTCTTTGCTCTAACGAACGGAGTTTACCCTCACAAACTGGTGTTCTGATTTCGGAGGGGAAGCTCATTAAATAACGAACAACAACAACAACAACAACAACAAAAGATTTATTTACTTATTTGAAAGAGTTAGAGGGAGACACACACACACACACAGATCTTCCATATGCTGGTTCACTCCCGAGATGGCTGCGACAGCGTGGGCTGGGCCAGCCTGAAGCCAGGCGCCAGGAGCTTCCTCCAGGTCTCCCACAGGAGTGGCAGTGGCCCAAACACTTGGACCATCTTTTGCTGCTTTTCCCAGGCTGTTAGCAGGGAGCTGGATCAGAAGTGGAGCAGCCAGGACGTGAACCGGTGCCCATATGGGAAGCGGCATCACAGGCAGCGACTTCACCTGCCACACCACAGCGCCTGGTTCTGTTTTCAATTTTAACTGTAAAAAAAAAAAAAAAAAAAAAAAAAAAAAGGAAAAAAAAAAAAAAAGAAAGAAAGAAAGAGAGAGAGAGGCTACAGTGAATATCCTTGTGCACAAATTATTTAGTATGCATGTGATTATGTCCAAGGGCTAAGTACCTAGGTGTGAAATGATGGGGTGGGTGGGTTGTGAACTCTTACAGTATTGATAGACAATGTCACATCGGCCAACAGAAGTTCATCCATCTATACCCACACTCACCCTGTCTGAGGGTGCTGCTTCTCCGTGTCCTTGTCCACACAGTGTGCTAGTAGAATACAGGAGGTTTGCCAATCTGATAGCTGCAAAACATTATCTTTCTGTCTCAGTAATTAGTGTCTCCTAACTTCCTGTCTCCAGCCTCTAAGCCATTCTGCATGTGGCTACGAGATACTTCCCTTCAAGGATGTCCCTCTCGGCCTGACACCCCAGTTTCCCATCCTCTGGTGGACTTCCTGGCCCCGAAGCCCCCCTCCCCCATCTGTTCTCAGCCAGTCTCATCTGAAGCCCATTAGTCAAACACGCCGCATCAACCCTGCAGGAAGCAGCTGCCACATTCAAAGTGGATCATTTGAGAAGAGCTTAGGGCAGAGCTATTTACACAGCTGTGGGCAGGGTTTAGGAAAAGCAGTAAGAGAAGGTGCAGTACCTGCCCTCATCCCTAGAGCTGAAGGGACAGAACTGTCCCTGATCTCTCTCTCCCTCTCCTCCCCCCTCCCTGCAACGCACACACGCACACACTCGCGTTGCAGCTTCTAGTGGCAGGACGCCGTCAGTCCATCCTGGCTTGGCAGAGAACAGCCGGGGGGATTAAAGAATGCCGCTGTCTTCCATCCGTGCCTTCCAGTGGTGAACCCAGCTGGAAACGTCAGGACAAGGAAGCTGTGGGTGCAGTCCATGTGCGTCAGCTGCCAGGACACAGGGCAGGGTGGAGGAGGTGCAGAATGGGTCTGGCTGAGCCGATGGGAGACATTCAATGCAAACACCCTCTGCCGTGCTCCCTGGCCTCTGCAAGCAGGAACCACACAGATTGGGTCCACATGCATTTGCCAAAATGTTATGCTTGACAGATGTCACCCCTTCTGGGAAGTCTTCTGGGATTTCCTCCAGTCTCTGAAAATGAAGCATGATTTTTTTTTTAAAACAATAACAGCAAGAAAGAAAAATGAATGGACTAATCTCTGGGGTCAAGTTGTTGCAATCTCTGGTAGGCAAAATTTTTTGAGGGAAAGAATAGGATGTGAAGGGCATGTGCCGGTGCAGTCAACATTCACACGATGGCAAAACTTCAGAATGCATGGCAGTGTGATCAGACAGAATCCAGGACGCCTCCAAGGCAGGCAATGATTTCAGCAAAGTCATTGTTGCTTTGGAAATGTTTAAGAAAAAATAAGCTGGGCAGGCGCTGCGGCTCACTAGGCTAATCCTCCGCCTGTGGCGCCGGCACACCGGGTTCTAGTCCTGGTTGGGGCACTGGATTCTGTCCCGGTTGTCCCTCTTCCAGTCCAGCTCTCTGCTGTGGCCCGGGAGTGCAGTGGAGGATGGCCCAAGTGCTTGGGCCCTGCACCCGCACTGGAGACCAGGAGGAAGCACCTGGCTCCTGGCTTCGGATCGATGCAGCGCGCCAGCCGTAGCGACCATTTTGGGGGTGAACCAATGGAAGGAAGACCTTTCTCTGTCTCTCTCTCTCTCACTGTCCACTCTGCCTGTCAAAAAAAAAAAAAAAAAAAAAAAAAAAAAAAAGAAAGAAAGAAGGAAATCTGGGGGAGGGGCGCCCCGCACATCTCAGCTGTAATGGAAATTTCCAAGACACAGGACTGGGGAATGGCGCTGTGGCACAGTGGGTTAAGCAGTGGCCTGTAAAGCTGGTTCGAGTCCCTGCTGCTCCACTCTGATCCAGCTCCCACTATTGCACCTGGGATAGCAGCAGAACGTGGCCCAAGTACTTGGGTGCCAGCCACCCATGTGGGAGACCAGGACAGAGTTCCAGGCTCCTGACTTCCACCTGCACCCCCCCACCCTGTTGCAGCCATGTGGGGAGTCTCTTTTCAGTCTTCTCTCTCTCTGCCTTTCTCTGCCTTTCAAATAAATAAGTAAATCTGAGAGATTAAAAAAAAAAAAAGGACTGGAATGTTGAATGACTTCCAAAGTTCTTGAGTGATGGAAATACTTACAGACATTTCCCAAGAACATTAAATTGAAAAATAAAATTTTTTTCGGGGCCAGCGCTGTGGCATAGTGGGCTAAGCCTCCGCCTGCAGTGCTGGCATCCCATATGGTCACCAGTTCGAGTCCCGGCTGCTCCACTTCCAGTCTGGCTCCCTGCTGTGGCCTGGGAAAGCAGCAGCAGAATGCCCAAGTCCTTGGGCTCCTGTACCCCCGTGGGAGACCCGGAAGAAGCTCCTGGCTCCTGGTTTCTTGTTGGCCCAGCTCTGGCCGTTGTGGCTCTCTGGGGAGTAAACCAGCAGATGGAAGACCTCTCTCTGTCTCTCCCTGTCTGTAACTTTGACTTTCAAATAAATAAATAAATAAATAAACCTTTTTTAAAAAATAAAAAACCAAGTCTTAAATCTATTTGAGAGGCAGAGGGCTGGAGAGGAAGAAAGTACAGAGCTCGCTCCTGTCTGCTGGCTCATTCCATGAACGTCCGAAACAGTCTAACAGTCTGCCCAGGCTGGAACCAGGAGCCAAGGGCACCATCTGGGTCTCCTGCCTGGATGGCGGGGACTCAACGACTTGAGCCGTCACCACTGCTTCCCAGGTCTGCATTAACAGGAAGCTGCAATCAGGAGCAGAGCTCGGACTTGAGCCCGGGCACTTTGATACAGGATATGGGCATCTCAAGCTAGACCGAATACCAGCCCCAAAACTGATTTTTTTTTAAAGGCTAATGAAACAAACATCTTCAGCTAGTTTGATCAACAGAAAAACAGCAGGGGCTGGCGTTGTGGCACGGTGGGTTAAGCTGCTGCCTGTGACATCAGCATCCTATATGAGCACCAGTTTGAGTCCCTGATGCTCTGTTCTTCTTCTTCTTCTTCTTTTTTTTTTTTTTTTTTATAAAGATTTATTTATATATTTGACAGAGTTACAGACAGGGAGAGGGAGAGACAGAGAGGTCTTCCATCTGCTGGTTCACTCCCCAGATGGCCACAACTGCCGGACCTGAGCCAATCTGAAGGCAGGAGCCAGGAGCTTCGTCCACGTCTCCCATGTGGGTGCAGGGGCCCAAGCACTTGCACCATCTTCCACTGCTTTCCCAGAAACATTAGCAGGGAGCTGGATCAGAAGTGGAGCAGCTGGAACCTGTGTCCACATGGGAGGCTGGTGCAGCCGGCGGCCATACCCGCCGGCCCCAGGAATCTACAGCAGCCGAGGGATCGCCCTTGATCCTGGCACCCATTCCGTTCTCTCACAGATTCACAGCCCCTAGGTCACATCCATCGGCCCAGAGCGGGAGGCAGCCGCTCATCCTCCCGAAGATTCACCACCCCGTCCTCCGGAGCCCGCTTTCCTTTACTTTCATAACCACATCCCGCCTCGTTTCCCCTTAGAAAGGCTTGTCCAGGCCCCGTCCCACGTGTTTGTCGTTTTCCTTTTACCACGCAGGGTAATTAACCGATGTCAAAGCCCCGTTTTCCATTCACTGAGGGTCATTCTGTGTGTGGCCACCAGGCGGCGCCCACAGCCAGCAGACGGCCCAGCTCGGCCCCTCCGGGCACACCCAGACCCAGGGCCATTTGAGGGGAAGGCTCTGAGGCGCTAATAGGGTTATCTTTGTAGAACTATTTTTAGGTTTCTTGCTGGTTCTCCGTCAAGTCTTCCTCTCCTCCCGGTTACTTTTCTCCTGTTCACCTGTGTGCTCCCAACAGGGTCTCTGGGACAGCATCCGTCATCCACATTCCGTTTCCTGCAGGGCTATGGTCCTTGGATTATTTTGAAAAGTTATGAGTTTAGTCTTCCTCTCTTTTTAAAATGTATTTATTTATTTTAAAGGAAGAGTGACAGCTGGCAACGCGGCTCACTAGGCTAATCCTCCGCCTGCGGCGCTGGCACCCCGGGTTCTAGTCCCGGTTGGGGTGCCGGATTCTGTCCCGGTTGCTCCTCTTCCAGTCCAGCTCTCTGCTGTGGCCCGGGAGTGCAGTGGAGGATGGCCCAAGTGCTTGGGCCCTGCACCCGCACTGGAGACCAGGAGGAAGCACCTGGCTCCTGGCTTCGGATGGGCGCAGCGTGCCGGCTGTAGCAGCCATTTTGGGGGTGAACCAATGAAAGGAAGACCTTTCTCTCTGTCTCTCGCTCTCACTGTCTAATTCTGCCTGTCAAAAAAAAAAAAAAAAAAAAAAAGAAGAAGAAGAAGAAGAAGAGTGATGGAGAGAGAGAAAGAGAGAGAGAGAGAGAGAGAGAGAGAGAATCTTCCATCCTCTGGTTCACTCCCCAAATGCTATCAACAGCCAGGGCTGGGCCAGGTTGAAGCCAGAGCCTGGGACTCCATCCCACATGAGTGGCAGGAACTCAAGGACTTGGGCCATCATCCATCGTTCCCCAGGTGCATTAGCAGGGAGCTGATCAGGAGCGGAGTAGCCAGGAATCGGAGCAGACACTCTGACAGGCGGTGTGGGCATCCCAAGCAGCGGCTTAACCCACTGAGCCACAGTGCCAGCCCCCACATCGTAAATTTTTTAAAAAGATTTATTTGGAAAGGAGATAGAGATAGATAGATAGATAGATAGATAGATCAATCTTTCATTCACTGGTTCACTCCCCAAATGGCTGCAACACCCCAGGCTGGGCCAGGCCAAAGCCAGGAACCAGGAGCTTCTTCCGGATCTCCCACATGGGTGCAGGGGCCCAAGCACTTGGGCCAACCTCAGCTACTTTCCCAGGCATAGCAGAGAGCTGGATTGGAAGTGGAGCCACAGTGCTGGCCCCGCATTATAAATTTTAACACATGGAGTAGGCAGTTAAATCACTGCCTGCATCACATCTTGGAGTCCCTGGGTCTGAGTCCCGGCTGCTCCAGTTCCTATGCAGCTCCCTGGTGATGCACCTGGGAAGTCAGCGGCAGGTGGCCCCAGTTCTTGGGCCCTTGCCCCCAGCATGGGGAACCCTGATGGAATTCCTAATGGAATTCCAGCCACCTGAGGAGTGAAGCAGCAGATGGAAGATTAGTCTCTCTCTCCCTCCTTCTCCCCCTCCCTGCCTTTCAAATCAATCAATCAATCAATCAATCAATCAATCAATCTTTTTTAAAAATTACATTCTATAGAGAATAAACAACCCTACTAAAGAATGGGAAAATGTGCTGAGCAGAGAATTCGCCAAAGAAGAGTAACATATTGGGTAGAAAATTTGAATTAAAAGATCAGTTTATTTTGGTGCAAAAAAAAATTTGAGGTTACTGGTGCTGTGGCCTAGCGGGTAGCGGTGCCAGCATCCCATATGGGAGCCAGTTCCAATCCTGGCTGCTGCATTTCCCATCTAGATTCCTGCTAATGGCCTGCAAAAGCAGCATAAGATGGCCCGAGTGCTTGGGCCTCTGCACCCACGTGGGAGACCCAGATGAAGCTCCTGGCTCCTGGCTTCAGCCTGGCACAGCACCGGCCATTGCAGCCATATGGAGAGTGAACCAGCAGGTGGAACATCTCACTCTGTCTCTCTTTCTCTGTAATTCTGCCTTTCAAATAAGCAAATCTTTTTTTTTTTAAATAGAAACTTGTGCATAAATTCTTTATAATATGCATTTTCCATGGACTTTTAAAAGACCCTTTGTAGGCCGGCGCCGCGGCTCACTAGGCTAATCCTCCGCCTGCGGTGCCGGCACACCGGGTTCTAGTCCCGGTTGGGGCGCCGGATTCTGTCCCGGTTGCCCCTCTTCCAGGCCAGCCCTCTGCTGTGGCCAGGGAGTGCAGTGGAGGATGGCCCAGGTGCTTGGGCCCTGCACCCCATGGGAGACCAGGAAAAGCACCTGGCTCCTGGCTCCTGCCATCGGATCAGCGCAGTGCGCCGGCCGCGTGCCGGCCCTGGCGGCCATTGGAGGGTGAACCAACGGCAAAAGGAAGACCTTTCTCTCTGTCTCTCTCTCTCACTATCCACTCTGCCTGTCAAAATAAATAAATAAATAAATAAAGACCCTTTGTATATATGTTTTAAAACCAAAAAAAATTTAGGTTTTAATTCTACTTTCCCACGAACTTTCTGAAGTTTCCTGGTACAGACAGCAAGTATGCATAAAAAAGATGCCCCATATCAAATGTTGTTGGCAAATTGCAATGGGATACCACTCACACCTATGAGGATGGCTAAAATCCAAACCCCTGACAGCATAAACACCGGTGAGAGCGTGAAGCAGCAGGAATTCTCATTTGTTGCTGATGGGAATCCAAACTCATGCAACTACTTTGGAAAACAGTTTGCAAGTTGCTTCCGGGACTAAACATAGTCTTGTTCTATGATCCAGACATTGGCTTCCAGATGTTTATTCAAATGAGTTGAAAATTTAAGACCATGCAAGGTATTCAGAGCAGTTTTACTCATAACTGCCCAAAACAGGAAGAAATCAAGGGATCCTTCCTTCTTTTCTTCCTTCCTTCCTTTCTTTTATTTTTATTTTTTTATTTGAAAGGCAGAGTTGGGACTGGAACTGTGGCACAGTGGGTAAAGCTGCCGCCTGCTGTGCTGGCGTCCCATATGGGCACCAGTTTGATCCCAGCTGCTCCACTTTCAATCCTGCTCCCTGCTGGTGCACCTGTGAAGGCAGTGGCAATGGCCCGAGATCAAGTTTGTTTTGTTGTGGTTTTCACAGGCAGGCTGCTCCTGTAGAAGATCTTCCCCAGATTCTGTGTTAGAAGCCATCTGTTGGGGCCGGCACTGTGGCGCAGCGGGCTAAAGCCCCGGCCTGAAGCGCCAGCATCCATATGGGCACTGGTTCAAGTCCCGGCTGCCCCACTTCCCATCTAGCTCTCTGCTATGCTCCTAGATCCTGGCTTCGGATCGGCACAGCTCCGGCCATTGCAGCCAACTGGAGAGTGAGCCATGGGATGGAAGACCTCTCTGCCTCTCCTCTCTGTGTAACTCTGACTTTCAAATAAATAAAATAAATCTTAAAAAAAAAAAAGGAGAAAGAAACCACCTGTTTCCTGTGTTGATTGTTGGTCTTTTGGTTGTGGGTTTGTGGGAGCCTAGAAATGTTTGCATGTTAATTCTTTATTTTGAGCATTGTGAATGTTTTCTGAGGATCTGTCATTTCTTTTTCAGCTTGGGTAGAAGCCAGGTCTTTGTGCACTAGCAAGTTACAAACTTGGAGGGAGATTGGCCGGGGCGCGCCGGGGCCGTTTCTGAGCCAGCCGTCCCCACACAGCCCACTCCTGGCCCCCTGGCCCTTCCACTCCTGGTTGTCCCAGCTGAGCCCAGAGCGCTCTGGTCCAGCGTGGCCCTGGGGACTCCTTTTGGCCATATTCTGAGCCTGGCCCAGCTTTATCTAATGGGATGAACCAGGCTAAAGAGATTAGTGGGATGTCTTGGGGTTCCCACTTCTAATCCACGGTGTTCAGGCTGTCGCTTCTCGGCGGGGAAGGAAGCTGAAGGACCAGCCCCTGTGTGTGCCGTGACTCTGAGGACCCCGCTTCCGCCCCTGAGCTAACGGGGGTCCCGGGCTAGGGGGGCCCCGACATGGGCGACCCCCAGGGCGGCTGCATGCAGGGTGGCCCCACTGCGCCCTCCCCAAGGGCCTGAGCACGCTGAGGTCGGGATCTGTGTTGCAGGAGGCTGCCCAGAGCGCATCGGCGAGCATGGCGCTGCTCAAAGTCACGTTCGACCAGAAGAAGCGGGTCAAGTTGGCCCAAGGGCTCTGGCTCATGAACTGGCTGTCGGTGCTGGCTGGCATCGTCCTCTTCAGCCTGGGGCTGTTCCTGAAGATCGAGCTGCGGAAGCGGAGCGAGGTGATGAACCACTCGGAGAGCCATTTCGTGCCCAACTCCTTGATCAGCATGGGGCTGCTGTCCTGCGTCTTTAACTCGCTGGCCGGCAAGATCTGCTACGACGCCCTGGATCCCGCCAAGTACGCCAAGTGGAAGCCCTGGCTGAAGCCGTACCTGGCTGTTTGCGTACTCTTCAACGTGGCCCTCTTCCTCGTGGCCCTCTGTTGCTTCCTGCTGCGGGGCTCCCTGGAGAGCACCCTGGCGCAGGGACTCAAGAGCGGCATGAAGTACTACCGCGACACGGACACCCCCGGCCGCTGCTTCATGAAGAAGACCATCGACATGCTGCAGATCGAGTTCAAGTGCTGTGGCAACAACGGCTTCCGGGACTGGTTTGAGATTCAGTGGATCAGCAACCGCTACCTGGACTTTTCCTCCAAAGAAGTCAAAGAGTGAGTGGCCTGAGGGCTCCCCCGGGGACACCCTCTCCTGCCCCACTCCTTGCCCCTGTCCCGTGCCTCTCGCTCCCCGTTGAGGGCACCATTCATTTACTATTGCCCGTATTCTAACATCCCTGGCCCCTAAACACGGCCAGCTTCAGATGGGTCAACCTATTGTTGGGCTGGGGTGGCCGGAGTCCCCAGGATGGGAGTCCCCAGGGAGGAAGACCTAGCAGCCGTGTGTGCCTGTAGGTGGGAATGGGGGCATACACAGATCACATAAGACGAAGACTTTATTCGGCAGCTCATCTCAGGCACGCAAAGTCAATGGGCTCGGTCCCAGAAGTCTCAGCTTCCCAGGCGGCTGGCTCTCTGGTTTTCCCACCTTCTTGCCTCTGCGCATCTGACATGTCTGCTCTCAGGTGCAGTGGATAGAGTGGGGCCAGTTAGATCCGGGTGGTGGTTTGGGCTCTGTTGGTTCATTGGCGTGTGACCTTGAGCAGGTCACCGGGCACCCTGAGCCTTCGCTCACCGGTCTTTGAAATGAAGGCAACAGAACCGGTGATCTTGAAGGTCACCTCCTAGGGCCTGGCGCACGCCACGTGAAAGCAGATGTCTGAACCGTGTTCTTGGCGGGTATAGAAATAAAACCCTGCGGTGGGCTGCAGGGGGCGCCGGTGGCTCCCGAAAGTTAGTGGGGAAGAGCCCCTCCCAGGATGCCCACCCTCAGGGGGCTTGCCCTGAGCCAGCCGCTCTCTCTGTCCTACTGGCCCCTACCCTGGCTGAGGCCAGGGTGAGTGAGGCTGGCCGTCATCGAACAAGGATGGACTTGACCTCGGGGCGCTGGGTACACCAGCGGCAGAACACGCTTCAAGCCCCAGGTGGTGGCTTAGCTGTCCCTCACCAGAGTGAAGGTCACTGCCTGGGGTTTTGTTTTCTTGTGGGTGGAGATTACTGCTCCAAATCCCCGGGCGGCGGGGGCGGCGGGGCGGTGTTGTAAGCGCTGCCCTTGCTCTGTGGCTGGTCGGCGGGGATAGTGCACTGCATGGTTTGCCTAAGTCACCCCACAGGCTGCAAGGCCAGGGGATGAGCAGAATTGCTGGGGGTGGGAGAGGCTGACAGTGGAGCCCGCGTTCCCTAGCGGATGAGAAAGGGGTCTCCGTCTCTGCCCCCTCCCCCTGTCATTTTCCTTGGTTGTTTTGGGCGCAGAGTCAGCCCCTGGAGAGATGAAGGCAAATCTCTCTGTAATCCAAATCCCCGTTTGTCCCAAGGGGAGAAGTTACCCAGGTTCCTCCACTCCCAGTGGCCTGCGGATCCAAATTTTTCAGGCAAACATGTAGCTCCATCAAAACCGCCTCAACGCCCCACTCCACCTGTGCGGTCAACCGCCCTGCACTGACCTGGACACGTCCCCCAGCGCCAGCCCCCGGAAGTACAGGGACAACGTGAGGGAAACAAGCAGCAAAGGAAGCTCCAGCCGGGTTCCCACCCCCAAGTAACCAATGGCGTGAATGTTCCACGTTCCAACCGGGTCTTGCTAACTGGTCCACGGTGGAAACACGACTGAGTGTCCATTCTGTAATCTGAGAAGCTGCCCTGAATGCATGGACGTGCAGTGGATTTTTTTTAAAAGATTTATTTATTTTATTTGAAAGGCAGAGTTACAGAGAGGCAGAGACAGAGAGAGAGAAAGACAGAGAGAGAGATCCTCCATTTGCTGGTTTACTCCCCAGATGGCCACAATGGCTGGAGCTGATCTAATCTGAAGCCAGGAGCCAGGAGCTTCTTCTGGGTCTCCCACATGGGTGCAGGGACCCAAGCACTTGGGCCATCTCCTACTGCTTTCCCAGGCCATAGCAGAGAGCTGGATTGGAAGTAGAGCAGCCAGGACTCAGACCGGCGCCCATATGAAATGCCGGCACTGCAGGTGGTGGCTTTACCTGCTATGCCACTGTGCCGGCCCCCATGAATGTTTGTTTTTATTATAGGATTTCATTGTATTAGAAAGGTAGAGTCGGGGTGCGTGTGTGTAGGGGGGGAGAAATCTCCCATCTGCAGGTTCACACCTCAAAAAGCTGCAATGGCCAGCGCTGGGCCAGGTTAAAACCCAGAGCCAGGAGCTTCATCTGGGGCTCCCATGCACGGTGTTACCCCTTTCGTGAGTAGCACCGGCGTGGGCCTTCTTGAGCCCTTTGGCTGCCTCTCTGTCTCTCTGTCTCTTGGTTCCTTCCTTTAGGCTACTTGCCCTGGAAGAAAACGCATCTGTTGGCTTTCCCCAAAGCCAGCCTGAAGGCACAGCTCTAGAACTGAAATGCGTTTTTCCTTACAGCACAGCAATGTCATGGCCTGCGCTTCTGAGGGCACGGCCCGAGACGGGCACCTTGGCAGGCACAGGATCAAGTCATTTCTCCAAATACTAAAACAATTTTTTTAATTAATTAATTTTATGTATTTGAAACATAGAGGCAGACAGAAATGTTCCAGCCATCTGCTTATTCCCCGAATGCCCACAGTAGCCGGGGCAGGGTCTCCTGTGTAGAAAGCATGGACTCCAGTGTTTGAGCCGTCCTCTGCTGCCTCCCAGGCCCTGCCTCAGCAGGAGCTGAGGAGTCAGGAGCTGGTGCTGGTCGCGGGACCCAGGTACTGCACCGTGGGACGCAAGCATCCCAGGCGGCATCAGTTGCCACACTGAATGCCCGACCCTGGACTTTTAAATGAATGACCGGTGGCTGTGCCTGGCAGTGGAGCGAGAAAGCTTCTCTGAGTTGGGTTTGCTGAGGCCCAGGGCTTCAGCAGCAGGAAACATGGAGGAGTGAGGAGGGCACTGACACGGCTTTAGGTTCACATCCTGAGGGCTTCCTGGGGGAGGATGAGGTTTGCGTGACAGAGTTGGCTCCCCAAGCGCCCCCCCTGGAGAACGGCGAGCCTTTTCCTGGGGTCCCAGGCACCAGGAAGCGGTAAGGCCGGGACTTCCCGGGCAGCATTCCCAGGGCTGGCACTGTGATGGCAGACACAGGGTCCAGGGCGAGGGTGGGGGAGGGCTGTCACCCACCAAGGTCTTCTTTTCAAAGAAAGTCTTTTTTTCCTTTTTCTACCAAATTCAGAGGATTCACCCCAGCCCACAAAAAGGCTGGGGTGAGCCCCATTCTCTTCTCTGAGCCTGGAGGCGAGCCCAGGAGCCCTGAGCTGGTCAGAGGGTGGCCAGTCTGGAGGAAGTGCAGATGGAGCCTGGAGGGAGGCTGGCCCTCTTGAGGGGGCACTCTGTGGGAGGCGCTCCCGGCTGGGCCAACTGGAGCGGAGGTCCTGGCCCTGTGACACCCCCCAACCTAGGCCTGACTGTGGTGGTGGTGGGGTCTGCACACCCAGAGCCTCCCCAGAACTGCGGGAGGAGCTCCCGGCCTCAGCGAGTCTAAGATCACATAGTGCTGGCGGGGACACTTTAAAAAAAAAAGATTTATTTTATTTTTTAAAGGAAGAATTGTATATGGGGAAGAGAGAGAGGAAGAGAAAGAGAGAGGGAGAGACATACACATTCCATCCATTGGTTCACCCCTCAAATGACTGCAACAGCCAGGGCTGGGCCAGGCTGAAGCCAGGAGCTAGGAGCTTCATCTGGGTCTCCCACATGAGAGGCAGGGGCCCAAGCACTTGAGCCATCTGCTGCTGCTTTCCCAGGTGCATTAGCAGGGAGCTGGATTGAAGTGGAGCAGCAGGACTGGAACCTGCGCCCAACGGGGACGCCAGCGCTGCAGGTGGCGGCTTTCCCCACTACACACAGCGCGGGCCCCGACACAAGGAGTGTTACATTCAAGTCCTGCTCTTTCCACCCCACGCTGCCGCTTCCCGCCAGGCTGCTGTCCATCTTGCACAGACTGGGGTTAAATGGATGTTTGCTGACTGAGTGCAGGGCTGCTCTGGGGAGAGGGGCATCTCGTCCTTCTCGCTCGTCTTCCTTCCTTCCTTTTTGTCTCCTTATTCTCCACTTCCTCCCCCAGGGGGGCCTGGAAGGGGCGGGCAGAAATGAGGTCGGCTCAAAAATCACCTCTGGACTGAGATGGGATCCCAGGGCCCAGGTCATCACAAGGAGACCCCAGAGAAACCGGAAACAGCACCCCAGGCTCCCTGCGGCCACCCCTGTGCTTTAACCTCCTGCATCTCCCTCTGCTGCCTGACGGCCCTGGGTGAGCCAGGAAGAGAGGGACGCCCTCTGTGTTACACTTCGGGGAGATCTCAGAGGGAGGAGCCAGGGCTCAGAAGTCCAAGTTTAACACTCAGTGAGCCACCGGGGATACACATGTGTGGCCCTCAACCAGTGCCTTTGTAACCTTATTTTACTGCATTTCCAACATTCTTGAGTAGAGAGAAGATGATAATGGACTCCTGCATAACCACCAGCTAGTGAGATCAGCCTCTTTTCTCGTTTGAGCCTCTCCAAACACACACATTTACTACTCCGAGTATCTATTTTTTTAAGATTTATTTTTTATTTATTTGGAAGGCAGAGTTATAGAGAGAGGAGAGAGAGGAGAGAGAGGAGAGAGAGAGAGAGAGAGAGAGAGAGAGAGAGAAGAGCATTGTTGAGAACCACCTGCTGGTTCACTCCCCAGATGGCTACAATGGCCAGCGCTGGGCCAGGCTGAAGCCAGGAGCCAGGAACCCTATCCAGGCCTCCTACCTGAGTGCAGGGGCCCAAGCACTTGGGCCATCCTCCGCTGCTTTCCCAGGCGCATTAGCAGGCAGCTGGATCGGAGATGGGGCAGCTAGGTCTCGAACTGGTGCCCATATGGGATGCCAGTGTTGCAGGCAGTGGCATAACCTGCTGCGCCACAGTGCTGGCCCCACGCTCTGAGCATCTTACAGGAAATCCCAGACAGCTTCCCTGTCACCTGTGAACACCTGAGACGGCATCTCCAACAGACCAGGAAGCTTCGCTTTTGCCTTTTTGTTTGCAACATAAGTGTAAGAACCATGACACCAGCGAAGCTCTCCGCAATATCATCACATACCTAGTTTGTGTTCAATGTCTCTGTCCCAAAATCTTTGACAGGCGGCTTGTTCAAACAGGGATCCAAACCAAGCGCAGGCTTTGTATGGGCTTGTTCTGCCCCCTGTGTCCTTTCTACAGCTGACAGTGACCTTTCTCCTGTCTCGTGTGTGTTGGAGAGACCGTGCCATTGACCTGGAAGAACTGCTCACGTCTGGGGTCATTGCACCTGCTTTGTCCTCTGGGTTTCCCCAGCAGCCGGTGGTGGCTTCAGGCTCAGTTTAGGGAGCAGCGCCCTCTTGGCCTCATCCTGCACCCCTGGGAGGGACATGAGGCCTCCCGCCAGCTCCTGAGGTCCCTTTAACGTTCCCCCTGCTTTCAGGACAAGCAGGGCTGAGGGCCCTGGGGTGAGAGGCAGAGCGAGAGGGAGTGCAGCGGTCTTGACACCAACCGCAGTCACAGTCAGGACAGCCTGGCTTGGGGTCCCCGCCCCCCAGTCTGAGGGGAAGCTGGCCGCACACCCCCGCCCCTCAGCACCCTCTCCAGGCACCCACAGAGAGCAGGGCTCTGTTTGCTCTTCCTGAACAAGCTGTGAACGCCTTGGGGAGGCAGACCTTGGCCAGGCTGGGGCTTCCCCCGTCAGAGTCCTGCAGGACAAGGCTGTGTCTCCTTCCCCCCTCGGACTGGGCACTCCCTCAGGGCGGGGCCCAGGTTGGCACAGGGCGAGGCAGCCAAGCACAGTAGAAGTGGGGCTTCCCTGGGCCCCAGCCTGGGACCCTTGGGCTCTCCCCTTTGGAACCAACCTCGTCTTGTTTACCCAGTGCCTGCCCTCCTTCCGACCACAGATTAAGGCCCCTGCCGGCCTCCTAAGCCAGGCCGAGGCGAGCTCCTTAGGCTGTGAGCTGAGCTGGCTATTTATATCCGAGGGCATTTCCCGGGGCTTGTTGGGCTCTTGACTGGGCCACTACCCCAGCCAAGCCAGGCAGCGCCCTGAGCAAATCTGGAGAAACAAACACAAATCAATAAGGAGAGCCTTAGGGAGACGGTGGGGGTGGGGCGGGGTGCAGCAGGGCTGTGACTGACAGCTCACACACACAGCCTGAGAGACCGGAGACCTGAATTCTGCCCCCAGCCTTACCTGTTCATAGCGCCGCTGGGAACGGCTCAGGTGGGCTCTGTGCGGGGGCCGGGCTCCGGTGCCAGCCTGCAGGGAAGAAGCACCCCGACACTGAGGGGGGTGTGTCCGGGTGGCATGGAGAGAGCATTTCACTTATGCCGGCACAAGAGGGGAGCTCCAGGCTGAAGGCCCCTCGGACAGGCTCCCACCCAGTCTTCCCACCCCGCCCCCTGCACAGGCTGGGTGCTGAGCAGGGCGAGGTTCTGCCGTGACCGACAAGCAGTTCCCAGCCGCTGCCCTGAGCCAGGGAGAGCCGTGCCGCCAACTCACAAGTGACTGCTCCCTGCTCCCCTCCCCGACAGTGCACTGCTCGCTGGGCGGTTCTCAGCCACCCTGCTGGGAGGCAGCCTGCACCTGCCACCTCCTGGGCACTCTCCTGTGAGCCTTGTGTTCAACCTTGTTTCACAGTCAGGGAAGCTGAGGCAGGGAGAGCCAGGATAGCAAACCCAGGCAGTTCTGCTCTTAGCATCACCCTGTTCTCCTGGCAGCAGGTCCTGCCCCGAGAGGGCAGGGCATATGGAGGTACAGTGGCCGTAATCCCCCATGTGTGGCCTCCCTTGGTCTTTTTTTTTTTTTTTTGAAAGGTAGTATTAGACAGTGAGAGGGAGAGACAGAGAGAAAGGTCTTCCATCCTCTGATTCACTCCCCAAATGGCTGCAACGGCTGGAGCTGTGCTGATTCAAAGCCAGGAGCCAGGAGCTTCTTCCCAGTCTCCCATGTGGGTGCAGGGGCCCAATCACTTGGGGTGTTGTCTACTGCTTTCCCAGGCCACAGCAGAGAGCTGGATCGGAAGAGGAGCAGCCGGAACTAGAACCAGCAGCACCCATATGGGATGCTGGTGCAGCAGGTAGAGGATTAACCTAGTGCAACACGGTGCCAGCCCCTCCCCTAGGTCTTAATCCCAACAGAGTTCATAGAAAAGGAAGGCTAAATGGCATAGAAAAAGGGAAACCAAGCACTCCCAAGCCACTCCTTTTCATCTGTCAAGTTGGCAAAGAGCAGTAGGACCTGTAGGGGTGTGGCTGTGGGGGCGGGCTCTCTTTCCCCAGCTGGTCAGGGTGTGACTGGCCAACTCCCCAGGGGAGGGGTCTGGCCAGCTCCCAGAGATGCCTCTCCTGGGGCTTTACCCTCTACATAGATTTGGCAACCAGCAGGAGGACCCGTGTCCATGTTGGTATGAACAGAAGATGGCAGAAACCCAAACGCCCATCAGTAGGGGACTGGACAGATCCCATAGGAACCCGTGGGCCATGCACACAGGGAGAACCCCCGGCCATCCCCACTGGCGGATATGAACCAATCTCCCAGATGTTGCTAAGGTTCAAGGCAGCTACGATTTGGGTTTAAAGAGCTCTCAGGAAAAGCCACACTTGCAGCGTCTGTGTTTGCTCACCCATGCCTGAAGCTTCCTTGATTGACAGGTGGAGCTGGCCACAGGGAGGTGACCCAGAGGCTGAGCAACAAGAAGGAGTGGGAGGCTGGGTTTGTGTTAAGGAGATTTTTTATTTAGAAGCTAAACTTGGACATATGGTTTAGAGTATCATTATCATTTCAGTGCACATCCTTGAAAAGAATTTCTGTTTTAAACATTTACACGCTTTGTGTTCTTGCATCGTAAAAGTCTGCTATCATGTGACACGTTGCTCATGGGTAGCCTTTCCACTCAGGGCAACAGTGCATGGTCAAGTTCATAAATCTTCTTAAGTGTGCACGTGACTTGGTGAATTCTGACACACCAGGACCCCTGGGGAACCACGCCCAGGTCGGGTGCAAGGTGCCCAACCTGCAAGAGAGGAAGGGGTGACTTCCCACTCTAAAGACCCTTTTGGTTTCTAAACCCCATGTGCATGTGTGGTGTGCTCTGAACAATACATCCGCAGATGCAGACACGCAAAGCTGGGAGCCCTGCCCGTCAGCCCGGTGGGCCAGGTGAGCCGCCATGTCCTCCAGGTGAGTAAGGAGCTCCCACCTGGCTGCGGTGGAGTTTGTCCAAGGCAAGGGCCACGCCTGCCTCGAGTCTCCATCTCCTGCCTCTGCATAGGCCCAGAGGCTGATCGGACCTTCTGGAAACATCTGGCTGGAGGGGGCTCTGCTGACTTGTGCAGGGGGAAAAGAGTTGGCGAAGGAGTTGGCAGCTCATGTCTAGTAGCCCCAAATGCTGGCCAGACCTCATCCCTGGCCACCGCCTGGCCTGCTGCTCTTCCTGTCAGTGCAAACCGGGGCCAGGCGATGCACACAGCGCTTGGGTGAACTCCTGGATTCCTTAGTTACTTGCTCTGCCTGCTGGAAAACAGGCAGGGCCACAGGCTGTGTGTTCTCTGCTCCATCTCCCGTGCCTAGACCAGTGGCTGCACATAGCAGGCGCACAGGAAGCAGTTGAGGAGGGAGGGAGAGAGGGAACGAAGGTGCAAGGTTTCCGGAGGCAGGCGTGAGGGCTGCCTCCAGCTGCCTGTTTCCCCTCCAGCCGCATTAAGAGCAACGTGGACGGGCGCTACCTGGTGGACGGGGTCCCCTTCAGCTGCTGCAACCCCAACTCTCCCCGGCCCTGCATCCAGTACCAGCTCACCAACAACTCGGCGCACTACAGCTACGACCACCAGACAGAGGAGCTCAACCTGTGGGTGCGCGGCTGCCGGGACGCCCTCCTCAGCTACTACAGCAGCCTCATGAACTCCATGGGTGTCGTCACGCTGTTTGTCTGGCTCTTTGAGGTAGGCCCTGTGCCAGCCCCCGGCTGGTGGGGAGGGTTTAACGGGAGACCCCTCTCTCCTGGGAACCGGACATCCGGGACATCCGCCTGGCTGTGGATCAGAGCAGCCTGGGCTGGAATCCCAGTGCTGCTACTTTGCTTCCTTCCTTCCTGCCACATTTAATGAAACTCGGTAAGCAGGTGAAATTCACAGAACACACAATTACCATTTCAAAGTGAACCATTTAGTGGCATCTGGAACATTCACACAGTCCTGCAACCATCAGCCCATCTGGTTCCAAAATGTTTCCGTCACCCCCAAGGAAAGCCTCACACCCTCTGAGCAGGTGCCCCTCACGCCCCCAGGCTGAGTGCTGCCTCTGTGGGTCAGGCTCATTTCTGATCCTTGGTATAACCAGATCTGTGGGATCTGGAACCTTCTGTCTTCAGCTTCTTCCACTTAGCAGGTTCGGAGGCCCTGCCTGTGCCTCCACTTTTTGATTCTGAGGTTCTGGAAGGCAACTTCACCTCTCTGCTATATGGAGACAACAGTTAGTTTCGGGGACCCGTGGGGGGCAGTTTGTACAATATATCCATCGGGGGTGTTTGGATTTGTGCTGCTCCACAGGGGCGGGGGCAGTGACCACTCACCTGTGGTCTAATTCCTTCTCATCTCCTCTGTAAGGGGGATTCCTCTCTGTGGGGTCCATGCCCTGAGAGGAGAGAGGCGCTGTTCTTGGTGCTGAACGAGAGCATGCGCAGGGCTTCGGTGGGTCAAGGTGGCACAGGAGGTGACTTGGGGCCTACTGTAAGCTACTCTGACAACAGAAAAGCCAGACCCTCATAACACTTCCGCACAAAGCCAGATCGGGGCGGGGGAGCCTTTCCCATTAGAAACCTTGCTCGGCAGGGTTGCCGTGGTCGCTGCTGGAATTCACGCAGTGTGCGAGCCCCCGCTGGGCCACACCCTGTCTGATCCAGCACGTGAACCGCGAGGCACCGCTTTACTGTTCCGGCAGACACGGCCGACTGCTGACCCCTCGAGGGTGTCTCGGGAGCGAGGGGATGGGAGGAGGAGAGACGCTTGCTGCAAGGAGTTGCGTCCTCTGAGACCCACGAGAAACCTGGAAAGATAAGAGCAGTCAGCGGGGAAAATGGCGCCGCCCTGGCTGCCTCGCTGTTCCCCCGCCTTTACAGGAATCCACCGACTGCTTAAGCCGAGGATCAGCTCTCAGGGAACGGGGATTTGAATGCTCTCGACTTGTTCTCAAGGCCTCTGGTGGGCAGAGGGTGACGGGCACAAGGGTGACCGAGCTAATGACAGGATTCTGACCTCAGCCCTGGCTGCCCGGGCCTCACAATCCAGTGAGGAGATGATGTACCTCCAGCCAAAGGGGGGCGCTGCTACCCACTGCAAAATTCATACAGCAATGAGTCTCATTTTCGAAAGCAGGAAGGGGTCACAGTGGATGCACTCACACCAAGAGGACTTCCTGGAGGAGAGGACCCTTTCCTCTGTAAACAACTTTTATTAAACTTCCAATTGCCAATCATCAAAATAATGCCAACAGTTACCATCATCAGGCACAGCTGTACTTATACACTGTAGGATTGCCATTGAAGAGATATTCACCCACCACTTGATGGCACTGTTATAGGAGCTGGGACACTCCAGGAGGGTGTCTCTGGGGGTGGCCTAGTCTTCCCTCTCATAGAGTTTACCATGCTATCCAAGCAGAAGAGAGCCAACAATTGGCTAATGGAATACGTGACAATACTTAGCACGCTATGTCCAATGACAGCTGAAGTTTGCCCGTGCTGTGCGCTGCACACCTGCAGAGGCACCCCAGTGTCTGCACGAGGCAGGCACCTCTCCGTCTGAAGATCTGCAAACCACATGCCTAAACTGAGGCTGTGCAGGCCCGGGACTGGCTGTAGGCCAGGGCTGGGGTTGGAACCCAGGCATTCTGGCGCTGGAAGTGTAGTGAGCAAAGCCCCAGGCTCCACTGCTAGCACCATTCATCCCCGTCCCGGGCAGGTGTGCAGAACTCTCTAATCCCATCCAGCACAGCTCCTGAACGTCTAGTGTGTGTCCACCAGTGAGGGAGGGATGGGGCGGGGCGGGGCGGGGGAGAATGTGGGGGGAGCAGGGGACCAGAGAAGACCAGGAGGGACTGAGAATAGCAGGGTTGAAGGTGAACTAACAGGTCCATCTGAGCAACAATAGTCTTGGCAGAAGGCACAGCAAATGGTAGAGATGTAGATGGAAGGATGAGGTGGGGGCACGCCCACAGAAGCCCAGGGCGGCTGCAGGGGGAGCAGGGAAGGGCCTGAGGTGAGGCTGGGGTGGGGCGGGGTGGGTGGGCCTAGGTCTTCACCTTCACCTGACTGTGCCCTCCTCCAGTCAACCGTCCCAGGGAGGAAGAGGCTGGTAGCGTCCAGTTTCCCGGAAGGTCAGCCGCCAGCTACTTCTCCCAGATTTCTAAGTCTCCTCTCGCCCACAGGTGACCATCACAGTTGGGCTACGCTACCTGCACACAGCACTGGAAGGCGTGTCCAGCATGGAGGAGGCCGAAGGCGAGAGCGAGGGCTGGCTATTGGAGAAGAGCGTGCCCGAGACCTGGAAGGCCTTCCTGGAGAGCTTGAAAAAGCTGGGCAAGGGCAACCAGGTGGAGGCCGGGGGTGCAGACGCGGGCCAGGCCCCAGAGGCGGGCTGATGGCCCCGGGCCCCCCCCTCCTGAACTCTGTGTAGCGGACTCCAGGAAACGCGGACCTCCCCCTTTGCCCAACTGTGGAAGTCCGACCTGCCCACGCAGGCTGCCCTCCTACACTGTGCTCGGTGGTGGGTTTAAAGAGTAGGGTCCCTGAAATGTTTGTTGAATGCCTGACTCCAGAGGTGGGTGAGCCAGCCCCTCCCGCCCACGCTCTGGGTCGTGCAGCTTCCAGGTGGATCTGGGGTGCTGAGCAAGGGTGAGCCCAGGACCTGCGTCTCAGCTCCTGAATTCAGTTCCACCCGAGACTACTGGCTCCTCCCCAAGGCTGCCCTCCTTAGTGCTTACCTAAGTTGCTTCTTTCCGCTTTGTTCTATATCCCAAGCGTCACCAGGGAATTAGAAAAAGGTAATGGCCGTGCTGATTTTTCTTTTTGCCCTGTTTAATGCCAAGATGGACAGGCCGGCCGTTCTGCTTGCTGTGTCACAAGGTGGGGGCAGTTAAACTTTCCTAAGGATAATGGACTCTTCCAAAACACTGCAGACTCCGCACAGGAATTCTCTAATAGTAGAGCAAGAGAATTTCTGGGCAGGAGATCATGTCCCTGGCACCCCCCCCCCAAAAAAAAAAAAAGTTGTGTCATGTTCGCATGCTCTCGGTCACCGAGCAAGCCCAGAGTGAGCCTTGGCGCCCGTCTGGGGAAGCCCCATGTAGGACACTGCTGTGCTGGGATGAGGAGCAGTGATCCAACAAGAGTCTAACCTCTGGGGACCCCTCGCCGACAACACTCTCTTCAGTGGAGGGCAAGGGGTCCTCAGGGCCTCAGGGAGTAAGTTCCCACCCCACCCCCACCCCAGAGACCCACCCTGCAAAGCGCTGTTCCCGGGGTGTGTCTGCATCAGATTTGTGGCCAGCCCATCTTCCTGAGAAGTTCCATCTCCTTTAGGAGGGAGAAAAAGGAAGCTTTCAGGGGCAGACAGACTGGTTTCACTGGCATCCCAGGCCCCTGCTGGTCAGACTGGCTCCTTCCTGCCTGGCTGGAGGCCGAATACAGGGGCAGCCCTACCTCCCCTCGGCCCTGACTGACTCTGGGTTTACTGCTGTCCTAAGAATTTCAGTATAGAGAAAATAAGGCTTTTGGTGCTGCCTAGGGGACATTCCCGGCTCTAATTCTCCCAGAAGGACATTTGGACACCCATCGGACTCTCGTCCCAGGTAGAAAGAGACATCTGAGTGTCCTTGAGACGAAGGAATGACCCGGATGGGAAATGCTGAGTCAGCCATCTCTGACTCCTCCCCCGCCGCTCTCGGGAGCTCTGAGAACTATGGTGGAAGAGCTGCCCTAGGCCCACGTGTGTAACTGTGCCCCAACAGCTGTATGGCAGATATTAAACATTACACTGCACGAAAAACCACTTTGTTATATTATTAGCAGCCCATTCAAAAGCGTCCATCACGCGCTCCCCAACTCCAGCTCGTGTTGTTGAACAGGAAACTGGCCCTCCGGGAAGCAGCGTCTACCACCACTGCTCTGGTGCCCGAGCCTGGCCCCAGTACGGTGCCTGGCGGGGCCCAGCAAGACACTGCTATCAGGTTTCTTCCTTTCCCAGGACTTGTGTACATTTGTGTCGCCAAGGGCTCGGCCAGTTGTTCAAGTTCTGTGGGCTTTGCCCTGCAGCATGGTGGGTGGGAGGCAAAGACAGGCCCTTGGACTTTCTTAGGAACACTCAGTGAAGAAATCGGTGACAACAACTTCTCCACATTTAGGAAGCCGGGTGTCCTGGAATTTATGGCCTCAGCTCAAGAACCCACAGCTTCTTGCAACAAGCTTCAAGCCCAGGACTGGGTTGCCAGCAAATAAACCTCACGTAACCTCAATATGGGTTAATAAGATTAGGGGCTCGCTCCGCACGCTGCCCTGCCCCTCCTCATGCCGGCACCTGTCGTGCTAGGCCAGCAGGTTTGCAGCTTAGCCAAGACAATTAGGGCCTCTCACCTGCTACTGGGTAAAAAGAGAGCTCCCGGCTGTGGGCAGCCAGCAGCGTTCTCTGTGGGATGTGTGGACCTCCACGGAAGGCAGGCTTTTCCGTCTCAGTTCTCCACGGGCATGAGATTGGCTGGAGAGGAAAGGGGAGATTTTGCCTCCTCCCTCCCCAGCAGAGGAGGTGTGTGAACAGCAGTAGGAGACGAGAGAAGGCTATGTTCCAAGGGAGGTGCAGGTGCAGGATTAAGACACAAGGGACAACTCCCAGCTATTTACCCAAGGGAAATGAAAGTTTAGGTTCACACAAAAACTCTGTGTTTGTGGCAGTCGCCCCAAACCCGGTGCCCCTCACAAGCTGACTGCACAGCCGTCTGTGCCATGGCCGCTCCTCAGCACCCAAGGCATGTGAAGACTGTCCGGTGTTCTTGGTGAGATGGTCCCATTTCTGTATGCTGGCTCCATTTCTGTACCATTCTGCGAGAGGTAAAGCCAAGGGACAGAGCCAGGCGTCGGGAAGGGGAACTTCCCCTCCCATGGGGAACCTTCTGGGGTAATGCAGATGTATTTCTCAAGCACGGTGGTTGTTAAACAACTGTATGCTTTGGTCCATTATGTAAAGCTGTACATACACTACAAATGGTTATCTTAGTATTTGTAAAACATACTTCAATAAACCTGACTTACAGACACAAGGTTAGGGGGCCAGGCATTTGGCTTAGTAAAGACACTTGTGTCCTACATCAGAGTACCCGGGTCTGATGCCTGCTTTAAGCTCTGACTCCAGCCTCCTGCTAATGAGACCCTGGGGGCAGCAGCCAAGGCTCCAGCTATTGAGCTCCTGCCTCCCACACCACAGATGTGGACTGAGTTCCTGGCTTCATCTGGAGAGTGAACCAGCAGATGGGGAACTCACCCTTTTGGTCTTTCAGCCTCGCATGTGATTAGATTAACATTTAGGAGAAAAAACAACACAGAAGAGTGGGGACAGAGCGAGGGGATTATCAGAGGCAGCTTGCTGGGTCCTGCAATGGAAGACCGAGGCCAGGAGACGAGCGAGCGGCAGACACCTTGTCGCTTAGGGTGACACTTTGCTCACGCAAGGATTCTGGAAAAGCAGAACTCTCGGAGGCAGTGACTCCCTTACACGCCTAGCCTCTCGGGAGCGATGTCTGGGTAGTATGTAGGCAAGGACTCCAGAGACGAGCAGGCAGAGTTTGAACCTGGTCTTGGATAGGCCTTGGAGATCTAAGGTCCAAAATGTCCCAGAAAGGTCACAAGCTGTCATACCCAATGAATATGAAAGTTAATCGGCTGAAACAATGACCAGGCTTTCTCTGTGAAGGTCAAGGTGCTATGGCGAATAGCCACCACTGACACTAATAATATAAGCCTCTTAAATTTCAAGCTAATACCAATGCTCCATTTTATTTGCAGCAAGGTGACGAGGGAAACACTGCTGTGGCATTTAAGTGTATGCAACAGAAGAGAAGAAGGTGTAGGCCAAACCAAAGTAATGTCAATGCCTAAAGCATTTATTTGGATAGCTTTAAACTTTTTACATATGATACATTCCAAATTTTACAAGTTTGTCCACAGATATTAAAGTTATAGCCAATTTATTAAACAGATAAGATATTCCCTGATATGGAAATCATGTTATATAAACATTTCTACAATAAACATAAAACATGCGGAACAAATCATAAAAGTAAGATGATTTATTAGGTAGGGAGTCAGCTTAAGGCCAGGGAATAAAAGGGTGTGCCTTTTGCTATTGCATGGAAATTCATCTCCCAGACTCCCACATTCCTAGAGAAGGGAGTTCAGGGACCCCCTCCGCTAAGCCTGCGCTTCCATGAAGTCAGGCTGGAAAGCTGGGGGTATTGTGAGGATTTGGTGAGGATGTCTGTGATTCACTTGGAGCAATCTGGTCTGATAATTTTCAGTCTAAGGTTGGTGAACATTTGGAGGAAAGTCAAAAGCAGATGGATTTAAAAGTTAAAGGAACTTGATGTGACAAAGGCGCAAATAACATTGATTATGCCACCCTCAACCCAAACAATCCAGTCTTAGGAATAACAGGCCAGAACGGTGGGAAGAGAGGTGGATTCTAACCGGTCACTCTCGCCTGCTGGACGTCTCCCAGTGGGGTGAGCAAGTCCCAAGCAGGAAGGGCTCCAGTCACTGTCACGGGGGACGGGAACGTGGCTTCTTGCATGGCCGCTTCCTGCAGCTCCAGGTGTGGATTCCCGAGCTTCCTCCTGGTATACCGAGGACACTGCACAGCTGAGAACGCAGCTTGTAGACGCGAGTCATCCAAGACTGAGGAAACAGTCATTTGCCAAGAGTCGCGGCGCGTACGCCTGTCCCGGAGCCCCGCCTCAGAGAGGCTCAGAGTCTCTTCTTGGGCTGGATCTGCGCCCCTCCCCGTGGCGTGTGGGAGCTCTCTGCCGCTGGGCAGCTGTGCAGTGCGCCTGGGCTCCCAAGGGGCCACCGTTCCCGGAAGGCCCCTTAGCAGGAACAACATATCCCAGGAGCAGGAAGGCCGGTGCGCACAAAGCCAAGCGGGGCCTTCGCCTCCGCGGCTGCCGGCTCGCCATTTCCCCCAGGGTTTGATTCATACACAGAATATTACCGAGGGGAAATGAGCATCTTCTTCAAGTTTTCAAAAAGCCCTTGAATTGAGGTTTTTCTCTCAAAGCCAAAAAAAGGGGAAAAAACAAAAACAAAACCACCCATAGCAACCATGAACCTGCTACGGAGGGCTCCGGCTCGGAAAAGCCAGCCAGCACACTGAGTCCGGCTGCGGCCCGGGCCCCTTCCACACCGTCCCCAGCCCTGTCCCCACGGAGGGGGCTCAGCACAGGCAAGGCCACCCCGGGGGCAAGTCTCTGAGAGGAGCCGGGAAGCATGGGCCCAGCCAAAGGCGTCAGCTTCCGCCCGAGGCCCCCAGCAGTCAGTGAGGACGCGAAGAGAAGCTCCTTGCCGGATGCCAACGCCCAGGAGGCTGCAGCTAAGGGACACAGCAAACAGTTCAAGAAAATCTGCCGATGGAAGGTGATTTTCAACAGTCTCTGGAGCTAGAAGCTATGAAAATAAAACTGGGAAGGAAAGCTTAAATAAAGAATTTATTTCAAAACCCAGAATTTATTTCCTAATCTTTTTAAAAAAGCCAACTGGGTTACAAAACTCCGAGTCCCCGTGCGTGGTGGCGACGTCATCACAAGTGCTGCCAGTCGATGCCGACCAGTGTCTGGTTGGCTTCCTGGGCGTGTCCAATCTCCTCGGTGACACTGTGCTGGTGCCAGAGCTTCTGGATCTTCCTGAACCGCTCTCTGCACAGTCGTAAAGGGTTGCCCCGTCTGGAAAGAAGGCAGCGCACTCAGCACGCCGTCTGTGTGTCCCGTGTCACCTGTCAGCTCCCTGACTTTGGAACGGTTACAAGTTGTTGGTGACTGGTTGTGAACAAGCACTCCAGCTGGGAGTGTGCTAAGAGCAGCTGCAGAGAGGAGACCCTAGGTGAGGGCCGGGGAGTCGGGGCTGGGCTGAGGCACAGCTACCCACTCGCTGTCCATTCTGTGGGGGACAGAGAAGCAAGGGCGTGCGGGGGCAAGGGGGAAGGGCACTGCGGGAAAACGCTGCTGAGCGGGGCCCGGATGCCCCTGTTGGAAGAGTCTGCAGAAAACACAGCTGCCCAGGCCAGAATCAGCTGAGCCCCTGGGGCACTCACAGGGCCCATCTCAGGACCCGTGCATGGCTACTGTCTACCGAGGGGCCCTGGGGACCTGGTGTCAGCCGACGCAGGCCCCCTGGAGAGGCCTTACCTGAGTCCCTGGTCAGTCTCCCCATAGTCATCAAGGTAAGGAGGGGAATAAAAACAGCCTTTGGTTTTGCCAGCTAGGAACAGCACTTGACATTCCCGTACTCTGTAGAGACAGCGGTTACACCATAGACAGTTACACATCAGTAACCACAGTTTGCACTAAGTTCCAAATGTAACGCAGTCTCATAAAAACAAGCCCAGTGTTGGAAGAGAAGAAACAGCATTTACAGCCCAGAGATCCATAAAGGTATCAATTCAGCTGCCCGCATTTTCAAAATAACAGCCATCACTACATACATCAATTTAATCAGTCATTAAATTCACTTCCAAACAAAAGAGATACTGATCTTTTAACCACCGTCACAAGCAGTACAGACTTGGGACACAGGGAGGCACACCTTGCACACCACCAGAAGCCTCTGGAAGTACACCGGGCCAGGGAAATGCGACCGTGCATTTTTTCCCAGTGGCCACTTAAAGATGATCTCCTGTTCCCGTTCAGAGATTTGCCGTTTTTTTTTTTTTTTTGTATTAATAATTCAGCCCAATTCAACAAATGCTTATGGAGACTCTACTACATGTAAGAAACTGCCAAGGCTCCGAGGAGATGCTTAGATAACTAAGATCCAGACATGACCTACACCCCAGAGAAGCTCAAACTCATGCCACGGCTCTGCTTCAAACCCTGCATTGGCTCTCACCTCACTCAGAGGTGCCCCCGGGACACCCCAGGCCTGTCTCCTCCTCTCCACGCACACGACTCCCGTGACACAGCCTCCTGGCGTCAGCACGACAGGCACATCCCCACCCTGGCGAGTCTGTGCTGTGGCTCCCTGCCTGGAATGTTCTCCCGCTTCCAGAGGTCGGAGCCGTCCCTGGCCCGCCATCTAGAATTCATCCCCAGCTACCGCTTCCACTGCCCTCCATGCCTTGTCTCCTCAGCAGGTACTGCCAGCTAAACCCTCAGCAGGCTTGTTTATCTCCCTGTCTCTCACGAGAAAACGAGCTCCTTGAGGGGCGGGATTTTCGCTGGCTCTGTGGGTACCGCGCTCTCCACAGTGGGTCTGCAGCAGTCACAGGTATCTGTTGTCCACTGGTGCCTGAACACAGCCATACATGGCAGTGCGGCAAGGTAAGCAGGAGCCAAGGAAGCATCAAAAGTTATGAGGACACGAGAATTCACAATTCTGATTGAATCTGAGCAGAAAACCAGGGACAGCTGCAAATTTTACGTGAGAGGGCAATAGGAAGAGAGTAGTACAGAACTGGCATGTGGGGGTGGTGGGAAGAGTGGCAGGAATGACAACGGAACAACCAACAAAGAGTTGGCATGAACCACGTAGGATGCGAGGAGGTCCTCGAATGCATGGGACACGGGAGAACACTGGCCCCAGAATTCCCTGCAAGTGCAGCATTTTCTTGTGCCCCCCCCCAGGCACACGCCGAGGCACATCCAGAGCTAGAAAGCCCCCAGCAGTCCTTACCTCAGGAAGATGCCCGCCCCGGAGCCGCAGGAGTAGGTGTGGGCTGTGCAGGCGCCCACGTCCTCTCCTTCCAGTTCAGTCTGGCAACAGTAGCTCTGGGAGCACAGCAGAGCCCCACACACAAGGCACAGAGTCGGCGCTCTGCTCTTGTCACCACCTGATTTGGGACACCTCCATGGGCCAAATAAAATAGAATAAAATAAAAAACACAAAAAACAAAACACCAGGTCAGTGCTCTAAAAAACTGGCTAAGGAGCTGATGGCAGAAAACCACCCAGAAAAAAATTTTGCAAAAACAAGCAGAGTCAAAAATGCAAACACCCCACAGCCCAGGCAAGTTTATTTCAAGAGCAGGAACGAAGGAACATGTACACACAGAATAACTATGTCCTGGAAACACTAGACGAACCAGCCATTGAAAAAGATAAATAAGAGGAGGAAAAGATAACTAAATAGCACTATTGTCATGTTATGAAATACTATAGAGAGCAATTATGTAAGTCAATTTGGATAAATATTAGAAATGTGCGGGCGTTGTGGCACAGTGGGTTAAGCCACTACTTGAGACACTGGCATCCTATATCTGAGTGCCTGCTTCAAGTCCCACTACCATGTCCAATTCAGCTTCCTGCTAAGGTGGCTGGGAGGCAGAAAATGATGGCTCGAGTCCCTACTGCCCACGTCGGGGACTCCAGTGGAATTCCAAGCTCCTGGCTTTGACTTGGCCCAGCTCCAGCTGTTGCCAGAATTTGAGGGGTGAACCAGTAGATGAAAGCTCTCTTTGTCTCTCCTTCTCTCTGTTTTTCTTTCTTTTCTTTTCTTTTCTTTTTTTTTTTTTTTTTTTTAAGATTTTTATTATTTATTTGAGAGAGTTACAGAGAGAGGGAGAGACAGAGAGAAAGATCTTTCACCTGCTGGTTCACTCCTCAAATGGCCACAATGGCTGGAGTTGAGTCAGTCTGAAGCCAGGAGCCAAGAGCTTCCTCCAGGTCTTCCCACACGGGTACAGGGGCCCAAGAACTTGGGTCATCTTTCTTTGCTTTCCCAGGCCATAGCAGAGAGCTGGATTGGAAGTGGAGCAGCCAGGTTATAAACTGGTGCCCATCTGGGATGCCAGCACTGCAGGCAGTGGCTTTACCTGCTATGCCACAGCACCAGCTCTGTCACTCTGATTTTCAAAAAAAGCTTAGAAATCAAACGTAAAAAGTGCCGAAAAATATGTACAGTACAGTCCCATTCTAAATCAAGCTTAGAACATGCAAAACAATATATGCTGCTTAAGAATATAAATCCACATAGTTAACATGCGCATGCACAGGAATGCCGGAAACTCAAATTCAAACAGGTGAAGAGGGCGGAGACTGCGGCAAGATTCCTATGGAACGCCAAGTGTCTAGGTAATGCTTCATTTCTTATGCTATTATATTATTCTTTACGCTCTCTGTCAAATATTTAATAGTATTTTCAAAATTATTAAGGTCTCTTATTGAAGTGCAATTATTATTTAGATAACCTTTTGTGAATCAAATCGCTCCCCCACCCGCTTTTCTTTGTCCCTTGTCTTCCTCTGAAACGTGGTGGAGGCATGCTTTACAAGATAGGCAGCGGAAAAGACTACTGATGTTATGATTCCCCAGTGGAACAGAACCAGGAACAACAGAATCATCTCCCCGATTACTTGTGGCGAAGTGACAGAGTCCAGGGCAGGGATGTTCAATGCTCTAACACCAAAACTTACGAGAAGTTGGATGCCTGGTTAATGAGGCTGCTGTAATCCTCTGGCAGGTCTATTAATTTGTTAGATTCTCTCGGATAGCTAAAGAAAATGTAAAAATGTTAAAATCTCAGTTAACATGAAGTCATATCATAACAAGGACAGGGTAATTCTTAGCTGAGGCAAGACAACTAAAGGAAAAAGGAATGTGAGTGATGCAGCCAGGCAGAGCAGGAAGCTAGGGTCATTCATTAATGACACAGTGCCTCAGGGTCACACTGACTGGAAGAGTTAAGACTAAAGGACCAGGGCAGTAGCCAAAGGCACTTAGCATCAGCCCCATGTAGCCATAACTTAGCAGCTGTGGGAAGGGAAGGGCAGGAAAGGACACACATTCCTGGCTTCGACCTAGACCACACAGTGACAGAGAGCCTACCACAGAGCCTGGGATGCGGAAGGCAGGGCAGATTTGTGTATTTGTGTGTGATCACTTAAGTTAACTTAGACAAAACTGGGATTCAGATGCAGCCAGTGCTGGAGCAGCCTCTCTCAGTGCCAGGCGTTTCCATGTGCACACCCCTGCCCAGCGTGGTGATGTGCTGGGCCCTTCCCTCCACCTGCTGTAATTATGATGGTGGCCTTAAACTGATGGAGGTTCTGAACCCTACCGGAATCACGTGCAAGGGTTTTAGGGGTGTGTGTATGAGGTTTATATGTTGCTGGAACTCCAACTTCAGGGAAATCAGATCTGATGGGTAGTGGTTTGAGTATATTTTAAAAGCTTCCAAGGTAATGTATACCTCAAGTTAAGAAGTCTGTTCCAGGGTGGGTGTCATGTTGGTTAATGACATTCCCTCTGGAATGCCCACATCCCCTGTCAGAGTGCCTGGGCTCTAGTCCCAACTCCATTCCAGATTCCTGCTAATGTCTGTACTGGGAGGCAGCAGCTGATGGCTCAGGTGTTGTGTCCCTGCTACCCACATGGGAGAACTATTTTGGGTTCCCGCTCCAAGCTGTGGCCTGGCCCAGAGGAAGGGAGATGTCTCAGGGGTGGGGAATGTCCAGTCCACAGGCTATATAAGTAAGGCCTGAGACATCCTTTGCTCTGGCCCTGCCAAGGCAATTGCAGGCAGGACTTGGAATTCCATACATCTATAGCAGGCTCATTTTAAAGTTGATAATGTTATATGGCCTACGAATGATATTACAAATATCCAAATGGCCCTTGGTAGAAAAAAGCTCCCCCACCCTGCCAGATCTTCCTGTCTCTATGCTGCTCCAGAAGAGTTTTCTCACTGCAGGGTTGAACCATATGAAATTCATGATTCAACCACTTTTGACTTACATAAAAACTGGAATTTAATACGGTTCAACCAAATCAATTGGGGTGTTATCATCTCTGGATGTATAAAAACAAACAAGTAGAAGATATAATCTCTAGACTCTCGATTTTTAGAGAGAATGTGTTTAGCAGAACTAACGAGCTGACAGAGGAACACAGCTGCCACAACCTGGGAGAGTTCTCTGTACTACACAATCACAACACAACTAATGCAAACAGGAACGGAGAAAGATAAAGACTCGTGAGCTGTGACTGGACAGTTACTGAGAGTGAGTGTCAAATAGGTGGAGCCTCATTCTATTGTCCTTTGTATTTTCTTTTCTTTTAATTTGACAGAGTTAGACACTGAGAGAGAGAGAGAGAGAGAAAGGTCTTCCTTCCATTGGTTCACCCCCCAAATGGCCGCGACGGCCGGAGCTATGCTGATCCGAAGCCAGGAGCCAGGTGCTTCCTCCTGGTCTCCCACCCGGGTGCAGGGGCCCAAGCACTTGGGCCATCCTCCACTGCCTTCCTGGGCCACAGCAGAGAGCTGGACTGGAAGAGGAGCAACTGGGACTAGAACCGGCGTCCATATGGGACGCCAGCGCTGCAGGCGGAGGATTAACCACGTGGGCCACGGCGCCAGTCCCTGTACTTTCAAAGTTGGAAATTTTCTACAATAAAAGACAAAAAAATACAGAGCTAAGAAAAACTTAGAAGAGACCTACATGTTTTTAAAGAAAATATTCTGGGGTCAAAGCTATGGCATAGTAGGTTAGACCTCTGCCTGCAGTGCTGGCATCCCATATGGAGGCAGTTCAAGTCCTAGCTGCTCCACATCCAATCCAGCTCCCTGCTAATGGCCTGGGAAAGCAGCAGAAGATGGCCCAAGTACACCTGTGTGGGAGACCCTGAAGAAGCTCCTGGCTCCTGGCTTTGGATCAGCCCAGCTCCAGCCGTTGCAGCCATTTAGGGAATGAACCAGCAGATGGAAGACCTCTCTTTCTGTCTTTTCCTATCTCTGTAACTCAGCTTCTCAAATAAATAAAAGAAAATACTTCAAAACATGGTTACTTTGTTATTTTCTTCCTCTGTCAAGAATATTAATAATGCAGTATATTTATGCTCATAATTCTGATTTTTTCAAACTCTCATGATCAGACTAAGAAAAAGTACGAAGGTGGCAAGCTCTCCTCCCCTCTTTGTACTACTGAAAGCTTATGAAGTTTGTTTTGAAGGAAAACTTACTTAAGTCCTGCTTCCTCCCTGCCTCCCACCGGTAAGCAATTCTCTGACAATGTAACTTACCTTATAGCATCTCTTTCACCTTCTAGGTATCTTCTGACTTCATTGTTACGACACCAACTTTAACATAAGTGGAGGGAAAAAAACACTTTTACTTTTTAAAGGAAATTTTTTCCTTCTATAGCCAAAAAGAGGAATCTTCTTGAATTAATGTTATACTTCAAATAGTTTTTAGAAAATGAATTTAGAAATTTATTTTGGTGCAAAAAAAATTGAAATCTATGCAAATAAGTCTTCAAAAAGGTCACAAAAATGTGCTTTATGAAAAAATGAGGGGCTGGTGCTATGGCGTAGAAGGTTAAGTCACCTTCTGTGGCATTGTCATCCTATATAGGTGCTCGTTCATGTCCCAGCCACTCCACTTCCAATCCAGCTCCCTGCTAGTTCACCTGGGAAAGCACTGGAAGATGGCCCAAGTGTTTGGGTCCCTGCACCCATGTGGGAGACCTGGAAGAAGCTCCTGGCTTCTGGCTCCTGGCCCAGCCCCGGCTGCTAGGGCCATTTGGGGAGTGAACCAGTGGACAGAAGATCTCTCTCTTTCCTTTTCTCTCTGTATCTCTGCCTTTAAAATAAATAAATAAATCTTAAAAAAAAAGATGGAAGAATTTAAACATTTTTTATATCAAAATAAGCTCATCTTAGATTTTCAATAAACTTTTTCAAATTTATGCCAGTAAAATAAGCCATACTTTGCCTCCAACATTTTTTTTTTTTTTTTTACAGGCAGAGTGGACAGTGAGAGAGAGAGACAGAGAGAAAGGTCTTCCTTTTGCCGTTGGTTCACCCTCCAATGGTTGCTGCGGCCGGCGCACCACGCTGATCCGATGGCAGGAGCCAGGTACTTATCCTGGCCTCCCATGGGGTGCAGGGCCCAAGGACTTGGGCCATCCTCCACTGCACTCCCTGGCCACAGCAGAGAGCTGGCCTGGAAGGGGGGCAACCGGGACAGAATCTGGCGCCCTGACCGGGACTAGAACCCAGTGTGCCAGCACCACAAGGCAGAGGATTAGCCTAGTGAGCCGCGGCGCTGGCCTGGGTCCCTGCTTTCAATTGTGTTGCAATACATCCCTAGAAGTGGGATCATAAAGCAGTTCTGTGTTTAACTTTTTGAGAAACTGTCATATTGCTTCCCACAGCATGGGCTCTATTGTTTTTTCTTCTCCCTAGCAATCTGCAAGGATAACAATTTTTCCATATTCTTTGAAAATTTATTTTCCTTTTTAAAATAAAAAGAACTTAATGTATGAGTGGAATCTTACTGTTCTGACTTGCATTTTCCCAATGAATAGTGATAGGAATCATCTTTTCATGTGCTTATTGGCCATTTGTATACTTCCTTTGAAGAGATGCCTATTCTGGTTCTTTGCTCATTTTGTAGTTGGGTTGTTTTGTTTTTTACAATGTTGTGTTGCAGGAGTTCTGGATATATATACTCTGAATGTTTATCCCTTATGAGATGTATGATTTGCAAATATTTTCTCCTGTTTTGTGGGGACAACAGCTGTATATCTTAATTCAGCTACTAACTTGACATGATTCACAGGTCAATTTCTTTAGACTTCAATTTTCTCAAATATAAAGTGAGGGTATTATACTACATAATCCTTAAGGGTTCTTTCACTTTTAAAAAACTTAAGGCCGGCACTGCAGCTCAATAGGCTAATCCTCCACCTTGCGGTGCTGGCACATTGGGTTCTAGTCCCGGTTGGGCGCTGGATTCTGTCCCGGTTGCCCCTTTTCCAGGCCAGCCCTCGGCTATGGCCCGGGAGTGCAGTGGAGGATGGCCCAAGTCCTTGGGCCCTGCACCCGCATGGGAGACCAGAAGCACCTGGCTCCTGGCTTTGGATCAGCACAATGCTCGGGCCGTGGCGGCCATTGGAGGGTAAACCAATGGCAAAAGGAAGACCTTTCTCTCTGTCTTTCTCTCTCACTGTCCACTCTGTCAAAAAAAAAAAAAAAAAAAAAAAAAAAAGAGTATGGAAACTAATTCATATTTCCTTCCACATCACTCCTTCAAGTTCCACTTTCTATTAGCTAAATAATTTAAAAAAAAATAAAATAAAAAAAAAACTTAATAAGCAGGGAAGGAGTTGTGGCACAAATTAAGCCTCTGCTTGGGATACCTGCATCTCATACTGAAGTGCTAGTTTGAGTCCTGGCTACTTCGTTTCCAATCCAGCTCCCTGCTAATATGCATGGGAAGTAGTGGATGATGGCCCAAGTGCTTGGGTCCTTGCTACCCATGTGGGAGTTCTAGATGGAGTTTTTGGCTTCTGGCTCTAGCCTGGCCTAATGGGGAGTGAACCCCAAGAAGAGCGATGGAAGATTCTCTCTCTCTCTCTCTTTTTAAAGATTAGAGTTACAAAGAGAGATGAAGAGATCTATCATCTGTCAGTTCACTCCCCAAATGGCTGTGATGGTCAGGCAGAGCCAGACTGAAGCCAGGGACCTAGAACTCCATACTGGTCTCCCATTGGGTGACAGGGGCCCAAGCATTTGGGCCATCATCCACTGCTTGCCCAGGCACATTAGCAGGGAAGTGGAACAGCTGGGATTCAAACCAACACTCATCTGGAATGCTGGCATCACAAGCAGTGGCTTAACCTGCTGTGCCACAATGCCCGTATTGCCTGGTCCTCTTTTGGTGTCACAATGCCTTTTAACCAAGCAACCAAGCAACCAAGCAACCAACTAACTAACTAACTAACTAACTAAATAAATAAATCGTATAGAAGAACAAGTTAACAAGTTCATATGAGGAAGTAAACATTTCTGCCATTACTCCTTTTCTATGGAAATCTGCTTATGCCATCCACTAGGCTGGCAAAATTTTATACAAAAGCCAATCCGTCCCTGAAAAGGCTTAGCTAAATCCTTAGTTTGAACTGTATGTGCTGAATTCTGACAAGTTGACTATTTGAAAATTTTGTTATGATATGAAAACCGAAGTCTGCTTCCATACAACTTATTAGTACAATAAAAAGAAGTGCATAATCATTACCTTTCAATCAGTGAATTCATTATCTCACTATTTTCTTGAAAAAGGCAAATGAGGTTGTTTGGTAGGGAAAGATAGTTACATAAATGTTCAAAATTGTTTGTTCCAGAAGCTGCAAAAGGAGAAAAAGAAAAGATTAATGAATATAACCAACAACAGTACACTCTGCATGGAAATAAATGATAGTACAGCAAAAGAAAAAACAAGTAGGATGGAAAAATTCAAACCTGCTAGTATTTGACTTGTAGGAAGTCAGTAGAATGGAATATGAAAGGGGTTAATGGAAGGACACAATGGAGAGAGTTGAGTCAGGTGACTCCTACACCAAATTTGGTTACAATATCCTGGTGCTTAGGGGTACCTTTTGCAAAATGCTCAATCTATTTCATGGGGTTACTGTGAACATTAAATGGCAAAAATAATGCATGGGTGCTCTGGAAAAGTAAGACAGTTTTATCGAGAGAGAGACAAATAGCAATAATCCTCCCTGGAAGTAATCTGCAAGTCTAAACAATTCTGTATGGTATGTGGGCAATCCAAAGAATGGATATCAGTCAGTGAACTTCAAGAGAACAGCATCATGTGCAGGTACCCTACAACCAGTGCTAGGTACTGTGAGAAAACAGACACAATCAAGTCTACCTTTACACAGCTTTTATGAAATGAATCAAAACAGAGCACAGAAAACAACTGAAATAGCAAATTGATTCTCACATTTAGATCAATTTTATGTGCAATTATGGGGATGCTGAATTTTAATGCTATGCATGTTCCAAATTAAAAATGACACAAATGACCAATTTTTACTTTTTTAAAATTTGAGGAACTCAATTTATAAATAATATAATTGAACAAGTTAACAGCTGAAAGCAAAATTAAGATCTTTATGGGAGAAGTGCTTTACAAATGTAAAACCATTTATGCAGAAATTTAACAATATATTTACTGAGATCCAGACGAAAGCAAAGATAAAAGTGTACTTCAAAAAGTTTGCAGATGGGCTGGCGCTGTGGTGTAGCGAACAGTCCCTGCCTGCAGTTCCAGCATCCTATATGGGTGCCCGTTTGAGTATCGATTGCTCCACTTCTAATCCAGCTTCCTGCTAATGTGCCTGGGAAAGCAGTGGAAGATGACTCAAGTATTTGGGCTCCTGCACCCACATGGGAGACCTGGAAGAAGTTTCTGGCTCCTGATTGGCTCAGCTCTGGCTGTTGTGGATATTTGGGGAGCAAAACAGTGGATGGAAGATCTCTCTCTCTCTTTCTCCCTCTCTCTGTAACTCTGCCTTTCAAATACAATAAATAAATCTTAAAAAAAAAAAGGGGGGGGGGGGGGGGGTGGTGCTGTGGCACAGCAAGCCAAGCCACCACCTGCAGTGCTGGCATCCCATATGGGCACCGGTTTGAGCCCTGGCTGCACTACTTCCAATCCAGCTCTCTGCTATGGCCTGAGAAAACAGTGGAAGATGGCCCAAGTCCTTGTGGCCCTGTACCCACGTGGGAGACCAGGAAGAAACTCTTGGCTCCTGGCTTCAGATTGGCCCAGCTCTGGCTGTTGTGGCCAATTGTGGAGTGAATCAGCAGATGGAAGACCTCTTCCTCTGCTTCTCTGTAACTGTGCCTTTCAAATAAATAAATCTTTTTTTTTCTTTTTAAAGATTTATTTATTTATTTGAAAGGCAAAGTTACACAGAGAGAGAAGGATAGGCAGAGACAGAGAGAGATCTTCCATTCGCTGGTTTACTCCCCAGTTGGCCGCAATGGCCAAAGCTGTGCCGATCCGAAGCCAGGAGCCAGGAGCTTCCTTCGGTCTTCCCATGCGGGTGCTGGGACCCAAGGACTTGGGCCATCTTCCATTGCTTTCCCAGGCCATAGCAGAGAGCTGGATCAGAAATGGGGCAGCCGGGACTTGAACCAGTGCCCATATGGGATGCTGGAACTGCAGGCAGCGGCTTTACCCACTACGCCAGTGCTGGTTCCAACAAATAAATCTTTTTAAAAAAGTTTTCAGAAAATTGGCCGGCGCTGCGGCTCACTAGGCTAATCCTCTGCCTAGCGGCGCCGGCACACCGGGTTCTAGTCCCGGTCGGGGCGCCGGATTCTGTCCCGGTTGCCCCTCTTCCAGGCCAGCCCTCTGCTGTGGCCAGGGAGTGCAGTGGAGGATGGCCCAGGTGCTTGGGCCCTGCACCCCATGGGAGACCAGGAAAAGCACCTGGCTCCTGGCTCCTGGCTCCTGCCATCGGATCAGCGTGGTGCGCCGGCCGCAGCGCACTGGCCACGGCGGCCATTGGAGGGTGAACCAACGGTAAAGGAAGACCTTTCTCTCTGTCTCTCTCTCTCACTGTCCACTCTGCCTGTCAAAAAAAAAAAAAAAAAAAAAAAAAGTTTTCAGAAAATTGAATCAAAAGATGAGTTCAGGGGCCAGTGCTGTGGCACAGTGGGTTAACGCCCTGGCTTGAAGCACCGGCATCCCATATGGGCGCTGGTTTGAGACCTGGCTGCTCCACTTCTGACCCAGCTCTCTGCTATGGCCTGGAAAATCAGTAGATGATGGCCCAGGTCCTTGGGCTCCTGCACCCGCGTGGGAGACCCAGAAGAAGCTCCTGGCTCCTGGCTTCAGATTGGTGCAGCTCTAGCTGTTGTGGTCAACTGGGGAGTGAAACATCGATGGAAGACCTCTCTCTCTCTCTGCCTCTCTTCTCTCTGTGTAACTCTGACTTTCAAATAAATAAATAAATCTTAAAAAAAAAAATCTTTTGACACCTCTGCATTGTTTTTCCATAACATGCATTTCCAGGAAGTTTTTGAAGTGTCTTTGCAAATATGCATTTTTATCCATAAATGTGTATATCACCACAGACAATTAGCTTCCATATAAACTTTCAAGTCACCTTAATTCTAGAGTGTTAGGGCCAAAGACAACCAACATTCCTACACTTTGAAAGAAATCTGAAATCACCTTGAAAGTCAGGGGGGGGAGGAACTCCATTTAAGTAATGAAAAAACAGAGCAGAACACTTCAGGAAAGGCATGACTCCAGCCTTGACAGTCCTCCACAGGTGCCAGCCAGAGGGTGTTCCTCTCAAGGCACTGAAAAAGAGAAAATGATTACTGGGTCACTTAAGAGGAAAGGGTCATTCTACTTACAGCGTAAGATCAAGGCAGAGATGACCGCCATCTGGGATTGATAGTGCTGGTGCTTAACAGGAGTGGATTAACTGCTAGTCCTGACCATAAGATGGCAGGAAGGGATGGGGATACAGTCTCCAATGCTGCTATTAAAATTTACGATAGCAATAGCTTGTGGCAACAGAAAGAGAAAATCTGGAAAATGAAAAACTTCATAATTCTAGCACCTTATATCAGCAGGCATTATTCTTGCAAACTGTTTTAGTACCGATTTGTCTTATATAGTTGCAACTAAAATATATAGAATTGAAGATTAACGTATTTTTAGGATATTATAAGCCTTAATTTTATATTGATGTATGATACTTTGGAACACACAATCATAACTTACACAAAACTATTCCTGCAAGCATTTAGATTACCTTTAGCACTTTGCAAACATAAATAGTATCAGAATTTACATCTTTGCATGTAAATTGCAAATTGGGTTATTTTGTTAATGCGGATTTTTAGAAATGAGGATCGTTTAGTCAATGAAAGTTTTATAGCTTCTTGACATCTACTGCTAAAAAGCTAAATGAAACTGTGAACTGAATGATCAAGCCTCCGACAATATGTGTAATTCCAATCATTTCACTTCACTCTTGCTACTCATGGGTACTACTTTAATAAAAATTATGCTAACTGAATCTGAATTTTAAAATTCCTAATGAGATGTCGTATTTTACAACAGCGACTTCCCAAAGTACATTCCATCCTAGGTCCTACTAGCCCATACCAGGTCCTCTGAGCAAATAAAGTGTTCCACAGCCAAACCACATGGGAAGCTCTGCCCATAATCACCCTTTCTTCAGAGACCTCCACTCATGTGAGTATAAGAATAGTTCAGAGAAGTCCAGGAGGTCACTCCAAACATGTCAACAGATACCAATTTCTCCCAACTAGCAAATTAAATCCTTCCTTATGCTATCACCTACTAGTATTTAGGGAAATGCCTATCATATGAAGATCATCATCTTACCTTCCTGTATACTGGTGAATTGTTTTATACAAAGCAAGAACTGCTAATTCTTCCTCACCAGTGGGATTTTCTTGATCCATGCCATTCTCTTCTGGAAGACAAAGAACTACTAGCACTCTGTATTTTCCAATTGTGTGTCGTTAAAAGCATTGATGATAACATCACTTAAGCACTTAAATATATTCATATACTAATGTACAACATGAAGCATTCCCACTAAAAATGCAGAATTTTAATCTTTAAAGTATGAGCACAGTATTGATCTCTGCTAGATCAAGGAGCCAACTGGCTTGCTGTGGGTAACATCAGCTAAATCTACTGTCCTCAAATATTTAAACAAATAGAAGTTTGAATGCAAGACATAATTTAAATTTTATTATTATTATTCTTTAATTTGAGAGGCAGACAGAGAGAAAGAGAGGGAGAGAGAACTCCCATTCTCTGGTTCACTCTGAATGCTTGCAATGGCAGAACCCAGGCCCATGCTAGGAGCTGGGAAGCCAACCCAGGTCTCCCATGCAGGTGGCAGACCTAACTACCTGGGCCATGACCTGCTGCCTGTTAGGGACTGCTTTAGCAGAGCTGGAACATGAATTCTGGCACTCAGATATGGGAGTAGGCATCCCAACTGGCATCTTAATTGCTAAGCCAAATGCCTGCCCTGTAAGATATAATTTAATAATGAACCCAGGGAGAATGAACAAACATGTAAGTTAAAGGCAGCATTCATAAATATAAATCCTATGGAGTTTAACTACTATGTGACCCAAATATTATTGAAGTTAGGAAATAAATAAAAACATTCACATCAATTGGTGATTGTAATAGGAGCAAGAAATTTGCTTCAAAATTTTTCACACGGGGGTAAAAAGTAGTCTAATTATAATTTCCATATTATTCTAACCCAAACACCTTTTCCTGTAATATGCATTTTTTAAAAGATTTTTTTTTAATGTATTTATTTGACAGAGTTACAGACAGTGAGAGAGAGAGACAGAGAGAAAGATCTTCCTTCTGTTGATTCACCCCCCAAATGGCCACTGCGGCCGGCGCTGTGCCGATCCGAAGCCAGGAGTCAGGTGTTTCCTCCTGGTCTCCCATGTGGGTGCAGGGCCCAAGCACCTGGGCCATCCTCCACTGCCTTCCCAGGCCACAACAGAGAGCTGGCCTGGAAGAGGAGCAATTGGGACTAGAACCTGGCGCCCATATGGGATGCCGGTGCCGCAGGCGGAGGATTAGCCAAGTGAGCCACAGTGCCAGGCCCTAATATGTATTTTTTTTAAACTGACACAACGCAAGGACTTCCTTCGGGAAGCTGACAAAAGGGCCAGAGTTACCTGTGCACGAGGTAAGCAAGATCTGAACGATGTGTGCCATAGTGACCAGATGGAAAATGTGAAGGTCTCCAGTGCCAAGGCTGATCCCTGAAAAATCCTGACACTGCAGCGTGGGGAAAGCAAGCACCAAGCTCACCTAGACACCAAACGCAGACCGTCAGCACACCGCCTGCCATTTAGCTAAGTACATTCCCATCTTCTTCCTGTGAGCCCGTCCAAGCTCAGGCCCCTCCGCTAAGACTTCACTCTTACACGGCATACACATTAGAGAACCCACTAGACCGGTGAGAGGAAATGACTTAAGAGTTAACAGAGTCTTGTCCCGTGGGTCCCCTATACAGTTTATTGTTAGTAACATTTGAAATATCTGCAGTGAATGAGCAGATACAGCATGGGTTTTGGACTCACAAAGATCTAGGTAAGAATCTCAGCTCCTTCTCTTATGAACTTTAATAGGGAAGTTAACACTTCTGAACCTCAGTTTCCCTATTTGCAAATTAGAGATAACATGTATGTGTTTAGAAAATCTCAGAAGTAGGGAACATAGGACTAAATGCAGATGTCTGTGAAAACAGCAGGCACACAATAAATGCTAGCTCTCTGTTAGCCTCTTACTGCCTGTATGGTGGTGCTAGCAGTGGTGACTTTAGGAATAGCAACGGGAACAACAACTGACACTTATCAGGGATAGATTTGCTCAAAACTCTTTACATGCATTGATCGATTCAGTTTTGAAACAATCATATGAGTCAGTACTAACCAACTTACAGGTACAGAATCTGAGGTGCAGAGGTTAAGGGGACAGCACTTGGGGCTGCTGTGTATGGTGGTGTACTCTGGGGCCTGGGAAAGGGAGCCAGTTGAGGTGGGCCTGAAATGTAGCCACACACTGCTTGGCCAGCTCAGAAAGCAGACTTTCTTTGAATCACAGAAATAGACTGTCAGTAAGTAGTATTGACTTGGCTACAAAATAAAATATGTCTAAATATCCAGGTCAAGTTCTAGGCTCCTTGAAAAAAATTTTTTTCTTTGAAAGGCAGAGAGACAGAGACGGATCTTCCATACACTCTTTCACTCTCCAAATGCCTACACCAGCTAGGGCTGAGCTGAGCCAAAGCCAGGAGCCCAGAACTCAATCTAGGTCTCTAGAGTGGGTGGCAGGGAACTGAGTAATTGAGCTACTACCTGGTGTCTTCCAGAGTGTGCATTAACAGGAAGTTGTAACTGAAGCAGAGCTGAGACTTGAACGTGAGCACTTCAATATGGAACACAAGGCAGTCCCAAGTGGTAGCTTGACAGCTGCGACAAACACCCACCCCTAGGCTTCTTAGTATTTCTTTTTGAGACTCATCATAAAGTAATTACACCCAGAAGGGGTAAGAATAGTATCATATGACTGACTCCTTTGTGCCTCGACACTACTCACCAAACCTAAGGCAAAGTTATGCAGTATAACGAAGAGAACTCTAGACTAACAGCAAAATACCTACCAATAGATGAAACATGTCGATATCTAATATGCATGGAAGATCTTCATGGCTATCATTAGGCACCAATGCTAAAGAATTAAAGAACAACACATTAGCATATTTCATGTTGATGCAAGTTAAAATTCATATAATCTAGTTTATCTTTTTGTAAGATATTTATGAATTTAAAAGTTAGAGCTTAAATATGAAAAAACAGTACTACCAAAAATAACTGAAAAGCTATGCTAGTAAAGACAAAATTTTAGAAGATGAGAAATTATTGTAACATATATCACAATATTATCAATACGCACATGCAAAAAGTCTTCCAAAGTGTCCTTGCACCACTGAGAGTGACACCACTGTCCAATGAGCTGCTGCAAATCTTGTTAGTGACCTCAGACAGTCATCCTGAAATAAAGAAACTGACACAAATGACAAAGAAGCCAACACATGAAGTAGTTCTCGTCTTTCAGGAATGCTAGTTCAAGCATAGCTGGAAGTGCAATGTATCTCTCTAGAAGATATGCAGCTGAATCTCTGACATCTTTAATGACATGCTTGTAGCAGAATGATCGGGATGCGAATAGTCTGATTCTGTGCTGCACAAACCGAAGCTATCTCCTTGGTGCTCGTTCTTTCCGGATTACACCTGTGCACACATTGAGTCAGAGAGCAACAGATACTCTCAAGAAGCTCATGCAGGATTTCTTTCTTTTTTAAAATTTATTTATTTGAAAGAGTTACACAGAGAGAGAAGGAGAGGCAGAGAGAGGGAGATGGAGAGGTCTTCCATCCTCTGGTTCATTCCCCAATTGGCCGCAACGGCTGGAGCTGCACCAATCCGAAGCCAGGAGCCAGGAGCTTCTTCCAGGTCTCCCACACTAGTACACGGACTCAAGGACTTGGGTCATCTTCTATTGCTTTCCCAGGCCATAGCAGACAGCTGGATTGGAAGTAGAGCAGCTGGGACTCGAACCAGTACCCATATGGGATGCCAGCACTGGAGGATGCGGCTTTACCAGCTACGCTACAGCGCTGGCCCCATGATGCAGTATTTCTTTATATGTATTCTAAAAAGCTCTAAAATGTAGGAAGTATTGGGAAAATTATGTGTAATCAGATGGTTGCCCAAATCAGAATGTCTGTAGTCAGTAAAATCTGTCACAGATGGGGCAGGTACAGCAAACCTGGGCTAGAGTAAAGTTCATAACCCAGGTCTCATCAATGAGAAACTACATCTGACTCCCTGGGAGTGGGGCCTCGGCAATGATATATTTTAAAGCTCCCTAAGTGCTTCTGATGGGCAGCCAGGTAAGCCTGCCACTGTGCTTGAAGAAGTAATGCCCACTGGAGCTGGAAGTAGAGATCTTTTGGCTTATTTGCTTTTTTAAAGATTTATTTATTTATTTGAAAGGCAGAGTTACAGAGGAAGAGAGGGAGAGACAGAGAGAGAGAGGTCTTCCATTCTCTGGTTCATTCCCCCAATGGCTATGATGGCTAGAACTGGGCCAGCCTGAAGCCAGGAGCTTCTTTCCAGGTCTCCCACATGGGTGCAGGGACCCAAGGACTTGGGACATCCTCTGCTGTTTTCCCAGTTCATCAGCAGGGAGCTGGACTGGAAATGGAGAAGCTGAGACTCAAACCGGCACCCATATGGGATGCCAGCATTACAGGCAGTGGTTTTAGTTGCTATGCCACAATACTGGTCCATCAGCTTATTGTGTGTTTTTCAAAATGTTATTTGGCTCAAAAACAAAACAGGGTCTGGCATTGTGTTGTGTTGTAACAGGTGAAGTTGCTATCTGCAAGGCCTGCATCCATATTTCAAGTTCCAGCTGTTCTACTTCTGATCCAGCTCCCTGCTAACGCACATGGGAAAACAGCAGAAAATAGCCCAAGTGCTTGGGTCCCTGTACCTGCATTGGAGACCCAGAAGAAGCTCCTGACTCCTGGCTTTGGCCTGGTCCAGCCCTGGCCAATGTAGCCACTTGGGGAGTGAACCAGGAACAGGAAGATCTCTCTGTCTCCCTGTAACTCTGACTTTCAAATAAATAAACAAATTTAAAAAAAATAGACTGCATTTAAGGTCTGTGAAATCATCTAGTCCAGCCCTACCAAGATAACCACAGGTGGGAGTTGAAATTCAATAAATCTATAGCAGGCTAATTTTTAAATTGGTAATTTTGTATAGCCTGTGAATGATGTTATAACTATCCAAATGGTCCTTGGCAGAAAAGACTCCCTGCCCCTGTTTTATAAGATCAGTATAATTTTGTATAGCAAAACATTACAAGATAGGAAAGTAATGAGTATCCCTCTTATGAAAATGGATGTAAAAATCTTTTTGAGGCCTCCTTATACACATGACCAAATTGGGTAAGGTGACTGTACATTAATACAGAAACCACATTAGCAGGAAAAAATAGATGCAGAAGAGGCAATGGTATCCAGAGAGGGTAGTCTGAAGTATATAGACTCAAGATCACACATCATATTACAACCAAGACCGATGTGAATTACTGTTTTGCTGATTGACCAGAAAGATACAATTCAGGGGGTAGGTGTTTGGTACAGCAGTCAGACGCTGTTTGGGATGCCCAAATCCCATATCAAAGTGTCTGATTCAACTCCCAGCTCCTCCACTTCTAATCCAGCTTCCTGCTAACATGCACCCTAGGAGGCAGCAAATGATGGCTCAAATACCCGGATCCCTGCCACCCATGGTGGGAGACCCAGATTGCATTCTGAGCTCCTGGATGTGTCCTGGCCCAGACCTGGATGTTGTAAGCATTTGGAGAATGAATCAGTGGATGGAAGGAAGATCTTGCTGTGTTTCTCTCTACCTTTCAAATAAAGTTGAAAAGAAAAAAGGTACAATTCAGGCTCTGTTACATTCCAATCCAGTGAATCCAAAGAGGCCTAGCTATCTATAGTTTTTTAAAAGTTCCAAGAGTATTTTAATATACAACTCCCAATCACGTTATAGAATCTATATTCTTTAAGCCATTAAAAAAAAAAGTGCTGAGATTCTGTTTGCAACAGAAACAAAAGCTAACACATTAGTTGAAGAGTAATCACACTTAACTATATTTTCTACACTGGTTTTTGTTTCTTGGCTAGGTCTGACACCAGGGGTCCTCTCAATCCTGGCTCCTAGGAAGCTTTTAAAAACTATGAATGCTTGAGCATCTTCCGAGACTCTGACTTAACTGGCCCAGAACGAGGGCCTGGGTGTTTTTAGAAACTCCCCACGTGATTCTACATCAATAAAATGAGATGATTTTGCTCTCAAAGGCATTGTTATGATTCACTGTCAGATGCCGGCTACACAGTAAATAGCAGCAAGCTTTGGCTTCATATTCCTTCCTCATCTTCCTAGGCATTAAATATACTCAGCTTGACTCTAATCTGCACATACTTACATTCTGCTTATAAAAGGTGGTCAGATGTGGTACAGTGTGTGTTCTGTTTTCATTTCCCATTCATTATAACATTAAACATTAAAGTAGAAGCACCCTATTTAGTTTTCTGCCCAAGAGCTTGAAAAGAGAAGTAGTTTCTTCCTGAAGTCTATCTAAAAGAGCAAGGAAAAAGAACCCTCAAACATACTTCTATATCTTTAAAGAAACTGGATACCTGCCTAAAACAGTGATTGCAGCTTTTTAAGATTAAGCAGCAGAACTGAATCATCTACTTCCATTTCACCCTTTCATGAACTGAGCCAATTGAGTCTTACCAGTCTGCAAGGCAAAGGACCAAACAATGGTTTATCTTCATCACTCAAAATTCTTTCTGCAGATTAAAAACGGTTGGGATGGTGAGTTTCATATTATGTGTATTTTGCCATAATTAAAAGTAAAAAACAAAAAAAAAACTTTCTGCAGAAAGTACATAATTCAGTTTTAGAATCTTTAAATCACTTCGCAAGAATTAACTTTGGATGAAAAATATAAATGAACACAGATTCCCTTAACTGACAAGATCCTATAACCACTACCAAAACAAGTTCTTTGTTGCTACAGTTCATTTGACTGCCAATCGCATTTTGTCAGTATATCACACTTCCTGTTTCTACAGCTGTTATTTCATATTCCTATTATTTCTATTTCATATTGTTGCCCATTTTAAATATAGGATTTTGCCCATTTAAAAAATATGATTCTGCACCTAATTCTTATCAAGGTATGCTTGTGACTGAAAGAGCAACCCAATCATACATCTCTTACCTATGCTTTGGATGGTGTATGCGCAGCTACCCCAACACATTATGGGCACACGGGGGTCCTCTTCATTGGGATGAACCTTGAGTCCCACCTTATAAGTAGCAGTTCCAAATGTTGTTAGCATTTCTTTTATGCTCTCAGAATAAGGGTTCCTGAAGTGAACATGAATAGAATTGGCTCAAAACAGTATACACACACACTTCAAATGGCTGTTTCTTAACAGTTCTTTGCTATATTGGAATTGGACCACTTACAACGTATCCAGAGTTAACTGCAAGCAGGGGTAGAGATAGGCAAATAGTCTCTGCTTGAGTCGAGAGTTACGTTGTTTGGGTTGAAAACAGGACACTGGGTGAATGTGTAGACATGGAGCCGTCGGATCCATGACCTGTTCCCGTATCCTGAGATGTATACCCATTGTGAACCCACGGCCAGGAGATTAAAGTTCATTCTGCCCTTTGACATTTACAGGTCCCAGGTGAAAATTTGGCAAGGGCCTGATCGCTTTGCTGAAAGGCTCACAAGTCAGGAAGCTCCAACCGGCCCCTGGTATCAAATGAGCTTCTTAGTGCTTTGTTCTTAAACAGTTACCCAAGGACCAATAACCACATACGGAAAAAGAGATGAACCAAAACGAGCAAAAAAAAAAAAAAAAAAAAAAAAAGAACTTGGGGGGAAAACAGAGATAATGAAGAAAGCAGAACACTAGAGGATCAATACAAAAGGGCCAACAGTAAGTTAATAGTGGGGCCACCTCAAAGAACAGAAAATCTAAAAGGAGAAAATTCTTTAAGAAGCATAAAAAATTCTCAGAATTGAAGGATGTGAATCTTCAGATTTAAGGGTTTACTGAAAACCTAGAAAAATGAACAAAATGATTCATATTAACAAGGAGTATCATAGCAAAATTTTGAAACAGTGGAGATGAAGAAAAGTTCCCAATAATTTCTAGAAGTTAAGGAAGTTATAAAAGAACAGAATCAGAATAGCACTGATTTCTCAATGCTGGGGCTGGTGCTGTGGAATAGTGGGTAAAGCTACCACCTGCAGTGCCAGCATCCCTTACGGGTGCCGGTTCATGTCCCGGCTGTTCCACTTCCGATCCAGCTCTCTGCTATGGCCTGGGAAAGCAGTGGAAGATGACCTAAGTCCTTGGGCCCCTGCATCCGCGTGGGAGACCTAGAAGAAGCTCCTGGCTCCTGGCTTTGGATCAGCGCAGCTCCGGTCATGGCGGCCAATTGGGGAGTGAACCAGTGGATGGAAGATCTCTCTTTCTCTGCCTCTCCTTCTTTCTTTGTGTAAATTTGACTTTCAAATAAAATAGATAAATCTTTAAAAAATATTTTTTTTCTAAATGCTAGCTATCAGTAAAACACTGCCTTCAAAATCTAGATTAAACATTATTATTATTTTTTAATTTATTTATTTGACAGGTTGAGAGGGAGAAGACAGAGAGAAAGGTTTTCCTTCCGTTGGTTCACCCCCCAAATGGCTGCTACGGCCTGAGCTACGCCGATCTGAAGCCAGGAGCCAGGTGCCTCCTCCTGGTCTCCCATGCGGGTGCAGGTGCCCAAGCACTTGGGCCATCCTCCACTGCCTTCCCGGGCCACAGCAGAGAGCTGGACTGGAAGAGGAGCCACCGGGACTAGAACCTGGCACCCCTATGGGATTCCGGCGTTGCAGGCGGAGGATTAACCATGTGAGCCATGGCGCCAGCCCTAGATTAAACATTATTTCCAACCTAGGATTCTACACTCAAACTATTAATCATGCATATGGGTTCAATAAACAGATTTTCAGAAAAGAAAATTTAACACCTACACATCCTTCCTTAGGAAGCTGCAGAAGTGTGTACCTCTGCAAAAGAGGGGCAAATTAAGAAAGAAGATACACAACCACACGACACCGGTCAAAGGAAGTCTCAGGGTGATAGTTGTACCTGTCCTGGTTGGTACAGGAAGATACAAGATGGGGTGAGGGCAGGAAGGGATTTGAGGAGAGAAGACCACCTGAGAGGTTTGAGCATTTGGAAAGAGTTGTTAGAAATCTGACAGATCTACCGAACCATTTAGGAAAAACAAAACAAAACAAAGCAAGTACAAGAGAATGACAGGGTAAGTATTAACCACATGCAAGATGAAAATTGTAGACAAAGGAAAAAATAATTATAACACACATTTAGCAGAGGAAACATGGTTATAATGTAAAAACTAAGAAGTGATTTAACTAAAAATGACGAAGTAACTTATAGTTACAGAGAAAATGGTTTACAAACACCTAAGAAGTGCCCTCACTTCACAGATGCGGGAACTGAGGTACAGGGAGGTCAAGTAGTTTGTTCGAAGTCAAACAGCTAATGGACAGCAGTGTGGCTCCAGAATCTATGCTATACCTTGCAGCCTGTTGACTGTGAGGTAAAATAGGGTTTAAAATACTCTAAAAAAATTATTCATTGGGGCTGGCACTGTGGCAGAGAAGGTTAAGGCCTCCGCCTGCAGCACTGGCATTCCATACGGGTGCTGGTTCAAGTCCCAGCTGCTCCTCTTCATATCCAGCTTCCTGCTAATGGCCTGGGAAAGCAGCGAAAGATGGCCCAAGGGCTTGGACCTCTGCACCTGCATGGGAGACCCAGATGAAGCTCCTGGTTCCTGGCTTCAGACTGGCTCAGCTCCAGCCATTGCGGCCATTTGGGGAGTGAATCAGCAGATGGAAGACCTCTCTCTCTGATTCTGCCCCTGCCTCTGCCTCTCTGTAACTTTGCCTTTCAAATAAATAAATCTTCAAAAATAAATAAATAAAATCTTAAAAGAATTATTTACTTATTTATGAGAGAAAGAGAGACAGAATCCCTCCTCCATCTGCTGATTTACTCCACAGGATGTCTGCAACTGCTGGGGTTAGGTCCAGGCAAAAGCTCAGAATCAGAAACTCAATCCAGGTTTCCTATGAGGGTGGCAGGCACCACAGGCACCCAATTACTTGAGCCATCACTGCAGCCTCCCAGGATCTGCAGTAGCAGGAAGCTGGAGTCAGCAGCCAGAGCTGGACATTGACTCCAGGCACCTTGATATACGATGTAAATGTATTAAGCAATGACTTAACCACTATGCCAAACGCCCACCCCAATACTTCGGTTTTGATCCTGGGTTACCAAGAGGCTGGTGGGGCCATAAATAGAACTATGGAAGTCAGAAGGAAGCACAAGACTTGGTAGGGAAGCTGAGTGTTTTGGATTTCCATGTCCTGATGAATTACTAAGGACAGCCAGATAAAGAGACACAGTAGGGGATCAGCAATGTAGACTAGGAGAGGGTAGTTAACAGTTAAACAGGCAACATGGTTTTTCGACTTAAAAAAATACATACACACATATTTCAACAAATATCATCATGTAATGCTTAAACTTCAGAATTTAAGATTAGTTCTTATAACAATTTTGCTCCCTAGCTTACCAAATCACTTTCTTACTAACTGTTGATACTAAATTTTCATTTAAAATAGGCCAAATTTAAAAGGAATAAAAGAATATACTCACTTAGGTTGAAAATCAGGCCTGAACCCTTCAGGTAGCTGTAATTCATTCACCTTTTCTACATTCTTTGAAGAGGCGGTATCTACAGAAATAGGCATTTTTTTAACCATTATTCAACAAATCACAATGTCTCTATAAATTTCTGCCATATAGGTCATAGAAATAGATATAAAAAAAAAGGATGAAAATAAAAAATTTCCACAAACAGAAACCTGCATAGCATCCATGTAAAGCATGGACTACAGGCACTGCAGGCAGCAGCTTTGCCCACTACGCCACAGTGCCTGCATCCCATATGGGTGCCAGTTTGAGACCCAGATGCTCCACTTCCGATCCAGCTCTGCCGTGGCCTGGGAAAACAGTAGAAGATAGCCCAAGTCCTTGGGCCCTTGCACCCATGTGGGAGACCCAAAGGAAGCTCCTGGCTCCTGGCTTCAGATCGGTGCAGCTCTGGCCGTTGCGGCCAACTCGGGAGTAAACCAGTGGATGGAAGACCTCTCTCTCTCTCTCTCTCTCTCTCTCTCTCTGCCTCTCCTTTTCTCTCTGTGTAATTGTGACTTTCAAATAAAATAAATAAATCTTAAAAAAGAAAAAAAAAAAAGCATGAACCACTGTCGTGGTTGACCAAGGCATTTTCTTCAGTTCCCTGCGGGCAGTATGGGGTGCAAGAAGCCTCTGATTCGGCTCACAGTCGAGCAAGTCACATGGCAGAACCAGAGCCAGCTCTTCAGCACTCAGCTACATCTTCCACACCCCCAGAAGGTTTTCAATAAAATGAGGGACTAAGTGAGGAGTACTTACTATAAACTTCACATGAGCTTATAAGTTTTCAAGGAATGAAGAATAATGTAACAAAGCAAAATTTAGCTTATAAAGAGAACTGGAATGAGTCAAACCATTCAACGGGAGGTTTCAATTTTAAATATTTCAAAAGAAAAAGATTTTATCTATTGGAAAGGCAGAGTGACAAAGTGACAGAGAGAGAGATCCATCTTCCAACTGCTGGAAGGGAGTTAAACAAGCAACATGGTGACAGCAATAGCTAGGCTGGGCCAGGTCAAAGCAAGGAGCCCAGAACTCCAACTGGGTCTTCCCCACGGGTGACAGAGGCTCAAGCATTTGGGCCATCTTCCTCTGCCTTCCTAGGCACATTAGCAGGCAGCTGGACTAGAAGTAGAGTAGCCAGCACTCAAACTGGCACTCTGATTTAGGATGCTGGCATCCCAAGCAGTGGCTTAAAATGCTGTACCACAATGCTAATCCCTCACTTTTAGATACTTTTTAAACAGTATTTTCTGGAAACACATTTCTAAGGATCTCAGACTGCAAGGAAACATGAAAACAGAACTTACCAGAAGCACTTCCTGCTTTCCTAAGAGCTTGTAATGCTTTTATTTGCTGAGATACTGTTCTGATCCATTGGGACAGATTTGGTTGGTCTGAAAAATTTAACCTAGAAAAGATGACAGAACATTTAGCACTTCACTGTTGTTGCTTAGTTTAAGATATAAAAAATTTCTTAAATGATCACAGGCACACAGATATGATTTAGATATAATTCCAATATTGAGGAGAAAAACAGCCAGGGGAAAATTTAGAAAAGAAACCAGAATAGATATAGGCCAATGGAAATAAAAATATATTATTTGTTAAGTGATGCTAATGACATTGTTAAAAATTTCACTCAGTTTTTCAGAACTGGAATTTAATAGACTTTCTTAAATACCACAACTACCGGTGCTACTAATACATATTAAGTGCTGATGATATGAGAAGCATGCAGTAAAGCATGTTGCTGTGCACCTCTTACAGTACTAGATTTAATCCTCAAAATACTCCTATTAAGCAGGTTATTTTACTGTCCCCACTTACAGATGAGGAAACTGAAGTTTGAAGCTTTGTAACTCAACTAAGGCCATGATAAGGGATAGAGCTGTCATTCAAATTCAGTTCAGTCAGACTCCAAAGCCTGTCTTTTTATGACAGTATTCCATTATGACCGTGCCATGGCCGACTCTCAAGGGAGAAAAACAAAATCTGAACCACAAAAGTGACAGGTGAAACCCTCAACCAACAATGACTAATTTCTTTACCAGCTCAAGTGCAGGTAAGCACCAAGCTGTTCTTTCACAATGAAAAAGCATAAACTTACATTCAAATCTACTATTTAAAGAACATTTTGCGGTAGAACAGACTAAAACACCAAAGCTTGACCCTCCAAACTGAAGAGAGAAATTACTTTTAAGTTTTATGTATTTGAAAGAGTGACAGACATGGGGACAGAGATCTTTCATCCCCTGGTTCATTCTCCAAATGCCTGCAACAGCTGGGACTGGGCCAGGCAGAAGCCAGGAGTCCAGAGTCTGTCTGAGTCTCCTTTGTGGGCGGCAGAAACCCAAGTACTTGGGTGATCATCTTCTGCCTCCCAGGCAAATATATAGGAGGCCGGAGAGGAAGTGGAAGCAGGACTTGACCCAGGAACTCAGATACAGGATGTGGTATCCCAAGCACTGATTTACCCAGTTGCACAATGGCTGCCCCTGATGTTACTTTGAATTGAATAAAAGTAACAGTACCGAAATAGATGATTTATATTCTTAAATTAGTATTTGTGCTTGTAAGAAGGATATCATAATTCCAAACTGAGAAATAACATTCAGATTTGAATGGTAGATAGTATATAATTTATATTTGGAATGAATATATTCAATATTCTTATTAACTAAAAGTATCTTAAAAATGGTGAAACTACAGGAATTTTCCATTTTAAATACACCAACAGATTTTCATGTTTTAGTCTTCTTCCTAAAGCTACTACTGACCCAAAAATTGCCAAACATTGAATTCAGTTGTTAGACTGGTCAGCAAGGTCAGGCGGCACTGCCCTTTTCTGCTTAGTGGGTATCCCTTAGAGATAATGAGGGCCATACTTAAAACAGGCTCCCTAGAAGTAAAGAGAGTTTTCATGAATACACAGGAATATTCCAACTTCCTGAGTATGGTATTGGCCTGTTCCTATCTGAAAACCGAAATCACATTACTATAGGTCTGCCAGAAGAAATGACTAAGTAAAAAGTTTGAAAAGTATCTGGGAAACACTATGCAATTACCTCAACTTATTATTTCGTTATCTTCATAGCAAATTACTGCTTCATTACGAGGCAATATGGGCTATAACTTACCTGTTGAAAATATTCCTTGGAGGAAGCAGCAGAGGAATAACGGTGTTACTCAAGCATTCACAAAGGGGGCAAAGGAATTCTCCATTTTCTACATCATAGCTCGTATGTAAGCGTAACCTCTGTTGCCTTCGCTGTTCTTTAGCTTGAACGGAATCAAAATACCTTTACAATTAGAGAACATGAGGTATCAAAACAGACGGCAATTTATATCAACAAGAGTCACAAGCTTCAATGTTTTGAATAATTTGTTTTCACAAATACTTCAGATATGAAAATATTAAAATGAGCAGAATTATTTGGGCACTGGCACTATTGATTTTTGAGTCATATTAATCATAAAAATGGATTAAGAGTTGTAAAGCAGGAAAAAAGAAACTGCCTTGCAATTAAGCATTCACAGAGAAGCAATGGGATTTCCTGGTGCCACTGCCGTCTGGCCACTTCCACAGGGTGTTGGCTACTTGTCAGGGGCAGTTCAGGTAAGTCAGTGAGAACAGTGCTACAATGATGGCACTGATGTAGAACAAGTTCAGGATTACCACATCTGAGCATCAGATGTGAGCCATTACAATCTTGGGAAGTAACGGGAAGTAAGCTTCAGAATCAAGAGCTGTTGACCGTGGACCTGAAGGAAGACAGCATTATTCTTCCAGGGTCTATCCCATTGAAAAAAAATCCCCTTTTTGACTCAGTTTGCTCATAAATACAGATCCACTTCTTTCTTTTGGAGGAATAAAGGGGAGACTGTGATACAAAGCTACACTAAAAACACATTTGACATACTAATTTTTTTTTTTTTTTTGACAGGCAGAGTGGACAGTGAGAGAGAGAGAGACAGAGAGAAAGGTCTTCCTTTGCCGTTGGTTCACCCTCCAATGGCCGCTGCGGCAGGCGCGCTGCGGCCAGCGCACCGTGCTGATCCAAAGGCAAGAGCCAGGTGCTTCCTCCTGGTCTCCCATGTGGGTGCAGGGCCCAAGCACTTGGGCCATCCTCCACTGCACTCCCGGGCCATAGCAGAGAGCTGGCCTGGAAGAGGGGCAACCGGGACAGAATCTGGCACCCCCACCGGGACTAGAACCCAGTGTGCCGGCGCTGCAGGCGGAGGATTAGCCTACTGAGCCGCGGCGCCGGCCTTGACATACTAATTTCTAAGCTACTCTTTTACATCTATGACAAAGCAAATCAATTTTAGTTGTTACTTATTAGGCAACGATATGGAACAGTTTCTCTAGGTCTTTTACCCTTTTTCTAGAGTTTCCTTTATTATTATTATTATTTCCTAGGTATTTCCTTTATTTAAAAATTCAATTTTGAGTTCAGGTAAGCTTCTCTTGACTAATATTAAGAATATAAATTACCTTTGCCAACAATGGGCATGCATAACGTGCCCACAGCTGCCAGTGTGCGTTCCACAAGACAGGTCGGGGTGCATGAATAATGGATCATATTTTTCTGCATTGTAAAGCAAACAAAAAACAATACAAGATAAAACAAACAAGCATTTAATTTTCCTATAATAAGTGTGTAACTTATTGTGAGATTCTTGACAAGGACTTGTAAACTCAAACTGAGATTTTTATCATCCTGAACGTAGTAACAAGGGTCGGTGCTGTAGCATAGTGGGTAAAGCCACTGCCTGCAGCACTGGCATCCCATAAGGGCACCAGGTTGAGTCCTAGCTGCTCCACTTTTTTATTTTATTTTATTTATTTGAAAGACAGAGTTACAGAGAGAGGTAGAGACAGAGAGAGAGGTCTTCCATCTGCTGGTTCACTCCCCAGATAGCCACATGGCTGGAGCTGTGCCAATCTGAAGCCAGGATCCATGAACTTCTTCCGGGTCACCCATGTGGGTGCAGGGGCCCAAGGACTTGGGCCATCTTCTACTGCTATCCCAGGCCACAGCAGAGAGCTGGATTGGAAGAGGAGCAGCCAGGACTAGAACCGGAGCCCATATGAGATGCCGGTGCTTCAGGCCAGGGCTTTAACCCGCTGCGCCACAGTGCTGGCCCCTGCTCCACTTCTGATCCAGCTCTCTGCTATGGCCTGGGAAAGCAGTAGAAGATGGCCCTTGTACCCACGTGGGAGACATGGAAGAAGCTTCTGGCTCCTGGCTTCAGATTGGTCTAGATCTGGCCGTTGTGGCCATTTGGGGAGTGAACCAGAGGATAGAAGACCTCTCTCTCTCTCTGCCTCTGCCCCTATGTAACTCTGTTTTTCAAATAAATAAGTAAATCTTTAAAAAATAAAATAAAATAAAAAAGAACAGTAACTAAACATCTCTGAATTGTAAACTGACACTGCAACTTGGTTTTTAGCTATATCCAATTTTTTAAAAGTTTCACACTTTCAGGGCATTGGGACAGTCCAATTCCCTCCATTATGCCCTGATGCCCTGAGACCAAGGTAAAAGGGATAGTCTTGCTGGGTCATGATGACCTGTGATAATAACAAAACAGATGTTTAGTCATTTATGATTATCTCCTAGAAGGGTCAGCGTAAAGACATTCGGGCAGAGAACAACCACCTCACTGCACCAGAGCCAGAGTGACCACAGAGTACCTAAGCCCATACAGTCCAGAGAGGGAAAAGAAAGTGACTCAGTCTTTCATCTGGTGCTAGTTTGTATACTCAAAGGAGATGAAAACTGGAGACAAACAACATCTGACTTGTTTGAGAAATTTTTTCAATTCTCTACATAAATTAATATAATCTTAGAAATTCTATGACACTGCTTCTCACATAGGGAACTCAAATCACTGTTCTCAGGACATTCCACTCTCGCTCTATCTATGAGACAAAATATTACTGCTGTTTTAGTGTGCCAACCAATTGTCAGGACTTTACAAGTATGCTGAAGGATGGAAAAGACTGCTGGTTACCAGAGCTTTTCACTGGATCCCTGCTCCTTTTCAGGCTGTGTCAGACATGCTATTTAACCTTCTGGAGTCAGATGGGGAATTCCCGCCTACATTACTCGCCAAAGATGCCACCATGCCTATGGAGGCATTATTAGACTAACAAAATCTCTGATTCCAACTACACTAACCAACAGTCATTATTAACAGGGAGGATGAAGATTTAGCCATAACTTACCTGGATCCTGAATGAATTTATTTCTGTTTTTTGACAATACAGTTGATCTTTGAACAAATGCTGCCAAGACCATTGCACTGTCTTCCACTTTAACTTCTTGCTCCTCTTGACACAATATACAGGTAACAAACTGTCTTTGTTCAGAGATCTGCGTTTTTGCAGGCCCCAATGCTATAAGTGTCTTATCTGAAACCACAGGGCTGCAAAAAAGGTTATGAAATTAATTAGCCTAAGAAGTTTCTATATAACCAAAAAATAGAGTCTGTTGTGTCCATAGTTAATACATGATTCTGATTTTTAAAAGGTTAATTCTTCTGGCCAGAGGCCACAAAATATACCTGCCAGTTCTATTAAATTACTTTAGGAGCAAAAGTATATTTACCAGGGGGTGTATCTACAGTTGAGAATTACTGATTAAGACGTTAATATCTTTTTTTTTTTTTTACCTATTATCAAGAACAGCAGAGGAAGAGGCATCCAGTTCTAGCGTCTGCTGAAAGAGCTCTTTGTTCTCGTCAATGAAATGCCGCTGCATCTCAGACATCTGGGCCATGATCTTCTCTCGACGCAGTCTAGCAATCTCAGCTTTTCTCTTCCTTTCTGCTTTGTCTTTGTCTCTTGAACTCTGAAATTATACTTCATTAAATCAGAACTTCTCAATGCTGTGGACATTTTTATCTAAAGCAGAAATATCTTTATTATAAATATTAATTAAAAATTATTCTACAATCTCAAACAATTAATCTAACCTGTTTAAAAAAAAGCAGAACAAATAAGTTATTACAACAAATAAGGATAAATAGTAGCACATTAAACTTTTTTTTTTTTAAGATTTTATTTATTTATTTGAGAGGTAGAGTTACAGACGGTGAGAGAGAGAGGGAGAGACAGAGAGAAAGGTTTTCCTTCTGTTGGTTCACGCCCCAAACGGCTGCACCGGCCGGAGCTATGCTAATCTGAAGCCAGGAGCCAGGAGCCTCCTCTTGGTCTCTCCCACGTGGGTGCAGGGGCCCAAGCACTTGGGCCATCCTCCACTGCCTTCCCGGGCCACAGCAAAGAGCTGGACTGGAGGAGGAGCAACTGGGACTAGAACCGGGGCCCATAGGGGAAGCCCGTGCCGCAGGTGGAGGATTAACCTAGTGAGCCACAGTGCTGGCCCCTCACAGCAAACTTTCTACAGTTTCCCAGTATCACACTTTATTTCTCATACCTCTTCCATTATGGTTCCCTCTGTCTCGGCCACAGGACTGGTAGAAGAACTCTCCCTGATCTTCTTAATAGCATTAAAAGTCTATGGTGAAAAGTGAAACATTATCACAAAGTACAAATAACAAATGCCTAATGTTTTTCACAAAAAGCAGAGTGATGCAGAGCATTTTACCTTTAATATCCACCTAATCATGTCTTTATGGACTTCTAGGTAGGGTGCATTTTGCAGTGTTTCCAGCATGGCCAAGATGCTAGGAGAGTTGTTTGGTGCTTCACCAGGTTCTAAGTCAGAAAAATAAAAGGTACAACAACAGCTAACACTTCATAGTGCTTGCTCCTCTGCACAAGAAGGTAAATGCAGTTGCTGAGAACATCTGTAGCCCAACATTTTATTATAGCTCTACTTGCTAGAGATCTTTAATGCTTCTACAGAATGTGACATATTTATATTTTACAAAGAAGTCGCTAACAACTAGAATTCTTTAAGTATTCAAAATCGACTTCTTATACAAATGATTATTTTAACATAGCCTCTAGAAAATTAAATAAAGATAGCTTTAAAATTTAAAAGGTCTGGTCTCTTCACAAACATGGTTTCAGTTAAAAAACAAACAAAAAACAACCCCCAAACCCAAAAAAAACCCATCTAGCTAAGTAAGTAAAGGAATTAGGATTATGGGGGTGCACATATGAATTAATAGATCTATTTGTTTTGAGCTTTTTAACAAAAACTAGATTTGAAATAAATTTTCCCAAGAATTTATTGTGTCTTTATTTGAAGAAAAAATATAAAAAGTCAACTCCATGTTCTCAAAATTACATATAATTCAATATGAACCCAATTCAGCTTACAGTCAGAAACATCCAATTTTAATGTTCTTGATTAAAGTGCTGCCATTCTTACAAAATGTTCCTCTTTGTAAAGCAGGGCAAGAGACTGAATTATGTGATCATCAATATTTTTCCAAATCTAAAGTTCTAAGCTACATGTCGGGGATGTGACTCTTGATAAGAGAGAAGTTTCTTTGGAAAAATATACATAGTGTGTCTTAATCATAAAATATTGAAAGAGAAGTAAGTAATACACAGAGAAAATGACTGAGAAAATGAGAACCTGACAGCGATGAGTGAATGCAATTGGGAAATTTTTTGTGTGATTATCCTTAAGTGCAAATGTGAGAAAGAAGGCACAAAAGACACATCCCAGGGAGAACCCTGGTGGACAAATGAGTAGGGGATGATGGGAACCAGAGGAAGAGTCTTCAGCGGGGGAAGGCAGTTTTCCATCTGACTCCCACTTACATAGGATGAGGGCAGAAAGGGAAACCAGAAATCTAGCAGCAATGGGACTACTTCCTCCCCATTCTACAATCTACTATTCCCTCAGTCATCATTACATAGAAGCAATGGCACTGAACGGTTAGAGAAATAATCCATGTCAATCCAGGAATCCACAAACTCCTATTACAACACATCAATTCATCTAAAAACACCTCAGCAAATGGCTGCTTGCAGTTTTGATGCAGGGATGAAGCTGGGCACCTGTAGTGCCAGAATGCAAGGAGGCATTCAATACTAACGAGGCTGGGAGAAAAGACTTCAGTTCAGAAGCCAAATGAATGGACTCCACTGATCAAAACTGGCATAATCTGAGCATCAAAAGAAATAATAATGATAGCTGACTACAAAACACTGAACAATTAAAAAAAAATTAAACCCTAAACAACAACAAAAAGATCCAAAGTTGCCACCATTTCAGGTAACCATTAGCCCAACTGCTTATTCTGAAAATTAACAGTACTTCACCTCTTAAAGGATGTCTATAACAAACGGTTCAAGAGTGTGTGAAGACTGCAAAATACTATTAAATCTTAGATAGCAGGTATGTGCATATTTATTATACAACTTTTTTTTAAAGCTTTTATTTAATGAATATACTTTTCATAGGTACAACTTCAGGAATATAGTGGTTTTTCCCCCATACCCATCCTCTCTCCCCCACTCCTGTCCTACCTCCTACTCCCTCTCGCATCCCATTCTTCAAGTTCATGTTTTAATTAACTTTATATACAGAAGACTAACTATACTAAGTAAAGATTTCAACAGTTTGCACACATACACACACATAATGTAAAAAGTACTGTTTGAAAACAAGTTTTGCAGTTAATTCTCATAGTACAACTCAGTAAGGACAGAGGTCCTACATGGGGAGTAAATGCACAGTGACTTCTGTTGTTAATTTAGTAATTAACACTCTTATTTATTTATTTTATTTTTATTTACTTGACAGAGTTAGACAGTGAGACAGAGAGACAGAGAGAAAGGTCTTCCCTCCATTGGTTCACCCCCTAAATGGCCGCTACAGCCGGAGCTATGCTGATCTGAAGCCAGGAGCCAGGTGCCACCTCCTGGTCTCCCATGTGGGTGCAGGTGCCCAAGCACTTGGGCCATCCTCCACTGCCTTCCCAGGCCACAGCAAAGAGCTGGACTGGAAGAGGAGCAACCGGGACTAGAACCCGGTGTCCACATGGGATGCCGGCACTGCAGGCGGAGGATTAGCCAAGTGAGCCATGACACTGGCCCCTAACACTCTTATTTATGACCTCAGTGGTCACCTGAGGCTCTTGCCATGAGCTGCCACAGCTATGGAAGCCTTTTGTGACAGTTTTTAGACAAGGCCATAAGCAAAGTGGAAGTTCTCGTCTCCCTTCAGGGAAAAGTCTATTGTACAACTCTTTCAACTTTCCATATGATGTTTGAAACTTTTAAAACATTCCCCTGGTCTTCTTTTTTATTTTTTAAGATTTTATTTATTTATTTTGAAAGGTAGAGTTACAGACAGAGAAAAAGGTTTTTCCATCTGCTGGTTCACTCCTCAAATGGCTGCAAAGGCTGGAGCTGGGCCAATCCGAAGCCAGGAGCCAGGAGCTTCTTCCAGGTCTCCCATAGGGGTGCAGGGGCCCAAGGACTTGGGCCATCTTCTGCTTTCTCAGGCATTAGCAGGGAGCTGGATCAGAAGTGGAGCAGCCAGGACATGAACGGGCACCCAGATGGGATGCTGGCACCACAGGCAGAGGCTTAGCCTACTATGCCACAGCGCCGGGCCCCTCCCAGGCCTTCTACGTAAAGCCTTACTTTGTATAAAACGATATTCTAATCCCCTATGACTGATTAAAAACATTTTTTTAGAGTCAGAAAGACAGCTCACTTCAAATGCTCCACTCCTCAAATGCCTTTAGCAGTCAGGGTTGGACCAGATCATAGACAAGAGCCAGGGATTCAATTCAGTTTTCTCACATGGGTGGCAGGGACTTAATCACTGGAGCCATCATCTGCTGTCTCTCAGGAAGCTGGAATCGGGAGCGGAGGTAGGACTTGAACCCAGGCACTCTGATATGAGATATGGGCCTTCTAAGCGGTGTCTTAAGCAGTAGGCCAAATGTTGAACCTCTTCTTGTTTTTAATACTGCAGAATTTTATTTCATAAGATAATAGCAAAAATTTAAAAATGAAATTCTGATGGTATACTTTTTGTTTTAAAAGTATATTGTAGGGGCCCGTGCTATGGCAAAGTGGGTAAAGCCGCCGGCTGTGGTGCCAGCATCCCATATGGGCACCGGTTTGAGTCCTGGATGCTCCATTTCCGATCCAGCTCTCTGCTGTGGCCTGGGAAAGCAGTAGAAGATGGCCCAAGTGCTTGGGTCCTTTCACCCTCGTGGGAGACCTGGAAGAAGCTCCTGGCTCCTGGCTTCAGATCGGCACAGCTCTGGGCCATTTGGGGAGTGAACCAGCGCATGGAAGTCTTCCCTCTTCTCTCTCGCTCTCTCTCTCTCTTTTTTTTTTTTTTTTTTGAGAGGCAGAGTTATAGACAGTGAGAGACAGAAAGGTCTTCCTTCCCATTGGTTCACTCCCCAAATGGCTGCTACAGCCAGCGCTTCACTGATCCAAAGCCAGGAGCCAGGTGCTTCTTCCTGGTCTCCCATGCGGGTGCAGGGGCCCAAGCACCTGGGCCATCCTCCACTGCCCTCCTGGGCCACTGCAGAGAGCTGGACTGGAAGTGGAGAAACTGGGACTAGAACCAGTGCCCCTATGGGATGCCAGTGCCGCAGGTGGAGGATTAACCAAGTGAGCCACGGCGCCGGCCCCTGGCTCGCTCTATGTAACTCTATCTTTCAAATAAAAACAAAAAAGGATATTGTAGAATTTAATTGCGTGTGTTATTCCCATTAAAAACTAAGAACTCCTCATGACTTCTTGATTTTTTCTGACAAATTTTATATACTACAGGATAAGCCTTTGGCACAGTGGTTAAGATACTGACTAGGACACCCGCATCCCATATCAGAGTTCCTGGTTTTGAATTCTGGCTCTGTTCTGCTCCTGATTCCAGCCTTCTATTCATGTGCACTCTGAGAGGAAGCAGGTAGTTGGTTTGCCACCACCATGTGGATTGAGTTTCTAGGTCCTGGGTATTTGGGGAGTGAACCAGTAGATGGGCATTCTCTGCCTCTCAAATAATAAAGAAACTACAAAAGTATATGTATTTTAATTAGTATAGCCCTAAGTACTTTTATATAAATATATCAGGATTAATATAGTACCATACACAGATTAATACATATGGCCTCAAATATCTGACTTCACTATTACCCACTTAGAACCAATATGATCAATAAAAAAGGTTCTAAATGGATTATTTGAAATCACTTATATCTTGAGTTAGGTTTAGGAAAAAGCATATACATACTTGAAATCTTCTGGGTGAAGGTAAACGTTACTACATGCTCTTCCATGGCTTTTCTAAATGCTGCTTTTCTCTTGTAGTGCCATTCCAATTAAATGTAACACCTCAAATAAAATGTTTTATAATTTTTAGTAAAAAACTACATATTTTATAAGAAATGAAGTAATTTATTTACTATTTAAAAAGTTAAACTATGAAAGACTAAATGCAACCAAAATAATTTAAGTACTGATTTTAATAATTCACACACTGATGTTCATTTTCTAATAAAGGATTCTTGGCAAGGAAAACAAAATTTCTAATTTAAAGAGGAAGGGTCTTCCACTGTGATTTCTTTGGGGTAAGCTAAAACTACCTCTGATGTGACTAGCAACTCATCTGTGGGTGCTTTGCAGTTTTACTCCATACCTACACCATAGTCTTAAAATTCCTTACCAGACTTCTAAGAAAGTATCTTAACTATCTTGAATCTACTTGCATGTTCACTTCTCTTATCCTACTCCCTAATTTTTGAAGGACTGTGTGGTGTGCCTGTATCTTTCTTTCCATGGGGGCAACTGTGGCTGTCAGAAACTGGGAAACACCAGGCCAGCCTGAATGACTAAAGCTAATGTATACATAAGTTAAAGTACTGTTCCTTCCTTTCTTCTCCATCATTCCCCACACATCTTTTGCTCACATACACTGACAGTCTCTAGTGCACCACAATTCCATGCTTTTACATTTAAAACATAAGTTATAAATGGAGGGGGGGTGCAAGTGTACACACACCTTAGCCAATGAGACAGTTGCGCCTGCTGAGACAATCCAAAGAATGGTAAGCTTTGGAGGACGGCTTGCCTTCATCTGAATCCTGGCTTTCCTGCTTTCAAGCTATATTCCCTCAGGGAACCCCTCTGAGCCTATGTCATCATCTATAAACATAGAAAAAAACAGCTTCCCTCCAGAGTTCTGAGGATCACACATACTGTACGTGAAGTGCCCAGCACAGAGTAGGCAGTGTATTAATCATTGTTATGATGTCACTTATTACTTAACATAGGAAGTTAACTGAGCCTCACTGAAACTTGGCTTTCTCATCTATATGATGGAAAAAGTTGTATCTGTTCATAGGAATGCTGTGTAAATTCAAGGAGATAATGTAAGAATGACTTAACATTAAAGCTATAAGGGTAAAATACAACAAGCTACTCAATTTGGCACTGATTAGCTAGCTATAGGACCATAAGTCTCCAAGTCTTAATTTCTCTAATTGCAAAGTATGGATATTTATGTACTCTAGTTTTTTAATTTTTTGAGAGAATTAATTGAGAAACATATGTGAAGGATAAAAAAATTATCCAATACCACAGTACTTAATGTACAAAGATGAGGGTCAATCCGAGAGAGACAGATTAGTCAATGGCACCAAGATAATCACAAACATATGGTATTAAAAAATCTGTCAGATACTCATTTTCATTGTCAGACAAAAAAGCAGTAACGATATACGTAATTTCAAACAATACATTTTTCTTCTAATTTTTCTGTGTATAGATACTGACAAGAGTATTTTAGCTTTTACTGAAAACACACTAACACATAAAGGCATGTCTTCAAACCTACCCTTTGCAGCATGGATTCTGACCAGGCATATCCATTATGTTCCACAGCCCACTGCAGTATTGTTCTCATGATGCACAACAGGACATCTGACTGCAAAATGTTAACCAGACTTGCAAACAAAGGGCAGAACGGAGGCAAAACTGGAGGGGGAAGTGCTGCAAATAAAGTTGTTATTGGTTGCTTTTGTAGAACGTGCTGAAAAAGACCGCCTTTTTGTTAGACACTTTTGATGGTCTTCACTCAAAGAATGCTCATTAATATGCATCTTAAAGCCATATTTTATAGTCTCAAAGTCAGCAGGATGCAGTAGAACAGCTACCTAAATAGCAGCAGTATAAAGGAAAGCCTTTCTTTCCCCTAGAAATGTCTTCAGATCTGAGATAAAAACCATTAACCCAGAGGTGACTCAATACAGACTATTCCTACGTTAACATACTCATTATTCCTTTGAATGTTCACTTGGAAAGCTTATTATTAAATCTTTCATTCTACCAAGGACAATCATCATAGGTAATAGACAATAATGTTAAACAAGTGAATTTTGTGGAAAGCAAAATAAAAGTACCTGTATCCTTCTCTATTTTGTCTTTTCAATTTCCGTTGAGCTTCTTCTGCCTGATAAAAAAGAAAGTAATTTGGGTAGGAGTTAGCAATGCAAAGCAACTTAGTATCCAAAATCAGTGACCCTAAGTCCTCTTGCTGTATTATCTTCTGATTTTGATCCTCAGTGTTATAGCCTCCCCTCCCAATACAGATATATCAAGGTTAATTTTTTTCCCATTAAAAGAATCCCAAAATGAATTCTTTGTTGCTTTAAAAACAATGAAATATGCACAAACCAAAACCAAAAAATTGTAAGGTCTGAGCTGGTTCTATATGTTTCAAAAACAAAAGCTTCATGTTTAAATTCTGTTTAATGTTATTTGGAAAAAGTGCTTTTAGTGAACACCGATACAAGGCAAAATTTAACTATCCAAGAATGATTTGGAAAACTATCTAAATCTCTATGGAAAAAGCATGTTAATTGGTACCAATTCTGAAGTGTGTATTAAAGTGGATTACAAGTTGAAAATTTATCCTCAAAAGCCAATAAAATAAAATTACATGTGTATGTATGTAATTGTACACAGAACACTGGGAGGGGGCAATTGACCCAACATTTCAGGTGGTGGTATTCTATTCATACTCTACCTTTTAAAATATTTTCCAAGCTTCCTACAATGAAATGTATCCTTCTTCAATCTGAAAAGCCATAAAACTTTTCCCTGCCGTACTTTTAATTTCCACAATTACCTTGGACTGCTCTGCCCTTGAAAGTGATAGAAATACAAATTGAACTCTTTGGCACATTCTGGTTTCAGTTCGTACATGCCTCGTCCTGTTAATCCAGGTTTCCTAGGAAAGAAAGGCCCTTAGACTATAATTACTGGTCAAATACTAATTCATGAGACAGTTTTAGATACTAGCATAAGAAAGAACTCTCGCATATTGCCTGTGGGCGTTAAGCTGAAACTTATGTTCTGTGAGTGAATTTGGCAATCTAAAACCAAGCTTTGTGTGCATGTATTTTATCCAGCACATCCACTTTGAATTTATTCTAACTGGACAACTGAATGTGATGGACACAGATACGGCAACAATATAAACAATCAAACACTATTCTGTATTTTGACATGTAAAGATACTTGTGATGACTTCCATTGACTGCAAAAAGCAGGTACAATATTGGGGTTTAGAGAATTTTCCTAAACAAATTACAAAACCCAGAAGTCAAATAGGATAGAAACATTTTTCAAAACATTTTTGTGAAAAAAAAATCACAGAGCTAAGAACCAGACAAGAAGAAAGTACCTGCAATATATTTACTAAAATAAGAATCTCTAATATACAAAAAAGCACACATGACACAGTAAGACAGGATAACCACAAAGAAAAATGCATGAAAGGATGAATGAATATAATGGCTAAAAAAGTAAGAGAAAACCTTCAAGTTCACTGGTAGTTAAAGTAATACAAATTAAAACAGGGTAACATTTTCCACTCATATAATGTGTGGAAACTAAGACTGTACATATCAGAGTGTTGGCAAAGCTACAGCGTACTCTCATACACTCCCCCAAGTGGAAGTGTAAATTGCTGATATTTTTTGGAAGGTAATTTGGGTGTATTAAAATGCCTTCCTTTTGATCTATCCAAGAAATACTTCCACATTTGAAAATATTGAAGTGGGGGTGCGAGTTTGACCTTGGTTGAGATACATTCACATCAGGGTGCCTGGGTCTGATTGTAGCTTCCTACCAATGCAGACCCTGGGAAGCAGTGGTGAAGGCTCAAGTACTGGGTCCCCTGCCACCCACATGTGGGACCCTAACGAGAGTTTTTGGCTCTGAGTTTAACCCAGTCCTGCCATGGCCACTGTAGAGATGAGTGGAGTGAACCACAGATGGGTGCTCTGT